TGAAAGAGTTCGGGAGATAACTCCACAAGATCATATCTCTCAGCTTATTGGCCTTCATCCTGCCAAGCAGGAACCATCGGGGTAATGCCGTTCATCATTGGCTGCAGGTTATCATTGCCCCTGACGCTAAAGTATCTAGTGGCTCCATGTGGCTGTCAACTAGCGGAGTTTGCTTCAGGGGCAAAGCTTTTTGGGGGTCCAAAGCAGCCCGCATAATTCCAGTTTCGGAGGGAAATTATCAGAATTATGGGCAATCACAGACGAGCCGCTCGCGAAAGCCGGGGCTGCCCTGCTCTGTACCCCAATTGGTGCCGGGATTACGCGCACATCATCCCAGATCTAACGCCTTTTCAGGCTAGCACACTCGTGGACCTGAGCCAGGACCCTCCCCGGAGGCCGTGTCCCTTTTCTTGGTGCTTTTCCCCGTTTCTTTCCTTTCCCTCGTCTTGACCTTCATTATTATCTGTGAGCACTGTGTCTGTCCTGGCCATCGGCCGTATACCTTTTGTCACTCGTTTGACTTAGCCATTCGCTTCATATATTCATTCATTTATTGATATTTATCAATTTGCCAAGTCTTTTCCCCCTGACACAATGAAGTTCCAGATCACATCCTTCCGCGCAGCGGCGCTTGTCGCCCTCATTGCGAGCGCCGAAGCCGCCAAACATAGCCATGGCAACAGCCATCACCACGAGACTCGTGATGTGGCTCTGGAGAAGAGGGGTGAAAAGTGCAAGTTCCCCTCCGACGCTGGCCTGGTTGCGATCACTCCGAATGAGGAAAATGCGGGCTGGGCTATGAGCCCCGACGAGCCCTGCAAACCTGGCAACTACTGCCCTTACGCTTGCCCCCCCGGTGAGGTGTCTATGCAGTGGGATCCCAAGGCGACCTCCTACTCTTACCCTATGTCCATGAGGGGTGGTCTGTACTGTGACGAGAGCGGCAAAATCCAGAAGCCCTTCCCCAACCGCGACTACTGTGAATCGGCCGCTGGTGTTCTCAAGGCCCGCAACAAGTGTGGAAAGGCTGTCTCTTTCTGCCAGACTGTGCTGCCCGGAAATGAGGCCATGCTTATCCCCACCATGGTTGAGGACCTGGCCGATCTGGCCGTGCCTGGCATGTCCTACTGGTGCTCCACTGCTGCACAGTACTACATTAACGCTCCTGGTGTCACCGCGGAGGAGGGCTGTGTCTGGGGTAGCTCCGCGAACCCCGTGGGTAACTGGTCCCCGTATACCGCTGGTGCCAATACCGACGACGATGGCAACACCTTCCTGAAGATCGGCTGGAACCCTATCTACCTGGAAACTACCACTCCCTTCCGCAAAGTCAAGCCTGACTTCGGTGTCGAGATTGAGTGTGAGGGTGATGGCTGCCAAGGCTTGCCCTGCAAGATCGACCCTGCTGTCAACGACGTCAACGAGATGGTCGGTAAGCCCTTCGTTGGCGCTGGTGGCGCCACCGGCTGCGTCGTGACCATCCCCAAGGGTGAAACCGCGCACATCATCGTCTTCGAGAAGGAGGGTAACGGCAGCACCTCGTCCGAGACCATCGAGGTTTCCACCAGCTCTCGTACCACCACTAAGAGCGCCAGCTCCAGTACCACAACCTCGACTACCACTGCTGCTCCCACTAGCACCACCACTACTGAGAAACCAACCTCCACCTCCACCTCCACCTCAACTTCTACTCACTCGTCGACTTCAACCTCGACTCGTACTTCTACCTCCAGCTCCACCTCTACTGCTGGCTCCAGCTCCACAACTCACATGTCGAGCGTCACCAACCCCGCCCGCTTGCCCAAGTCGAGCCCGGCAGGCTATACCTACCAGCCCCACGTGCTGACCGGCTCTGCTGATATCCAAGCGGCCTCCACAACGACCGCTGCCGCTGCCGCAGCGTCCACCTCTTCCACTGGCGGTGCTACTAGCGCCACCGTCTCCATGTTGACCCTGGCCTTCGGCGCCATGGCCGCCATAGTCGTGGGCATCTAAATCAGCTTCAACTGATTCGGCTATATTGACTGCACAATATTGCATATACAGGGTGTGTACCGACACCACCTTGAGGCATCTTCTCCGCACTATATTTGCCTGCGGTAATCAATCTTGAAATTCCGCGGGCGTCTATTACTGTTTGATTCTTTCACATTTTTAATTCTTCTTCTACATAATCCCCCCTTTTTTACGATTCTTCACATCCCTTGGATGTCCTTTTCACGACGCTCAACGTTGACCCTTTTTTACTCTGCTTCATGACATTTATATCCCTTGGCTCCTCAGCATTGCTCTTCTTTCCTTTCAGCTTGTTGAATATCCGTTTTATTGCTTCTGGTACGCAGTGGGTTTTTGTTTTTGGTTATACACGATGGTTGGGGCTGAACCAACCAAACCCTTTTTTTGGCTGGACATTGGAAAAATAGTGTTTATTTTTTATTCGTCAATCCTTACCACTAGGATCTTCGAAGATCTCAGACAGATTCTTATAGAATATTCCGAGTGCTATCTCACTATTCATTCTTGCTTTGTTTCTTCGGGCCAAGCACCACTGTCCTTGAAATACTCGATAAATTGAATATAAACAAACATTGAAATGCCCTAATTCCGATATATAAGACGCCATGTACATGCATCATTATTATCAGATGCTCACATCTTATATACATCAAACTATAACGCCAATAGAACTCGAGAGCGAGCCAGTCCTTGTCCTCAATCCACATGCAGACATCCCCTCCCCAAACGCCAAACCCAAACAATTCAAGCATCATATTCTCTGATAGGAACAATCAGATCAGGTCTCCTCGCCTCAACAGCCAACCCATTCAAATTCCGTTGTCTGACCTCGCGCAAGTATATTCGTTGCTCGTTGGACACGTCCTTGACAGTTTGTGAGTCGTCAAGGCCGTAGAACATAGTGTATATACTGAACCCGATGAGTCCGCCTACAACGCAGCCGGCGATGATGAGGAAGATGTAGAGAGGGTATTTGTCGGGGTTGCTCATGCTGCTGCGCTTAAGCAAGTTTGTAGCGTCGTTCATTGTGGATGTTTGTGTGATTGTTGACTCTAGTGTGCGTGGGATGGTAGGCATTGTGGGTTGAAGGGCTGTAGAAGATAAAAGGGTCTCGTTAGTTGTTGAACATAGGGGGGTGATGTGAGGCTGTATAAGTACATTCAAGGGTCAAAAGAGGGTGTCAATGTCAGATTCTTCTTTGTATGCAAATGTCGAAATGACTGTGGGGAGATTGGGATTATAGAGATAGGAAACAGCAGATCAGTGTGCGAACCCTGACAGCTAAATAAGTAAGCGCAGCCTACACACTAAAATACCTCGTTTCTACACCTACAGCTAAGCAATGCTGAAACGCGAAGGGATTGCTAAAATCAACCATAGACCTGTGATATTCTTCCCAAATAGGAATAGCGGTAGCACACTCCCACACCAATGACATCAGGAACCGAGCGGACCAATCAGCGTGGTTCGGACCCTGGTGGGTCGACCAATTAAAATTGCGCTAAAGAGACTAAAAGAGACTAAAAGTTCTAAATATGTATATACGGATTTTGACCGGATAGTTAGCTTCTCTTTTTCTCACGGACCCTCGGCCCCAAATTCCAGATCTAATCTGCTATAGTGGGCTGTCCTCACTTTCATTGGTTTGATCGTGTTTTGTGTCGTGCTTGATTGGTGTCTCTCTCTGGGCCCGCATCAGGTGCAGCAATTCGAGCCCCAATTCGAGGATTGGGAGTTGCCGAATGTTTGGTTTCTTACATGTCTCAGATAACTCGGTCACTCCGTTTGCTAATTGGGACTCGTCAATTGTGACCTTACTAAGTGTGCCACCTGGACATAACTCTCTTGAATACTGCCTGACCAGAAGCTATCACCGCCTTCTGGAAGTATATATGCCATTTCTATTCGTATTTTGATACTAAGAAAAGAATTACCTAAGAATTTAAGGCCCGAGAAGCCAAGGGTAGGGTGCTAAGGCAGCTTAGAGTATATACCCTAGTTGAATACTATGAACTATATAAGCTTAATACCACTTCTTATCTGTTCTTTTTACTGTCTTTTTGTGGTTTCTTTCTAAAAAAGGAATAAAACTAGTTTATAGCATGGAATTACCATAATGTATAAAGTATTAATTATATTATAGAGGATATAATTATGAAGTATCAATTAAAAACACTTTGTACCACAGTAAGAGGCTATTCAGTCTTTGACAAGGCTCCTACTATAGTACTCACATGAACAATTGCTTTCTCTTCCACCTTAATCTAACCCATATCATACGAACCCAAGATATTTATCCCCTCTAATCGACGTTCCAAATCCCTTCAAATGTGATATTGTGTCTCACAAACTATATCCGGAGTATGAGACTAATAGATTTGGCTAAGAAGACACATCTTGCAGCCGTAGCAGAAGAAGAAAAGATGGTCATGGCTGGGCTGAAGTATTCACACCACACACCACACGGTAGACGTACAGCAACAGTGGGGCTTAGTTACAAGCGACTAAGTGTGCCACCTGGACACAACTCTTCATTGGATTATATTGCCAGTAATTTAGTCCTCACTTTCTAGGCTTAGGAGTAAATAATGTTGAAAATGCTTGAAAACTCTCGACTACTGCAATTGTAAACCTTCTAGTCGAATGGGAAAATCCAACAAATAAAGTCTCCAGTCAAAATTCTATTAACTTGTTTACCATATATAGATTATTTCTAATGTCCTTTCTGTTGACGTTGAATATATATTTAGGATCTCTTATTTTTAAATTCAATTTTTCTGTGCTCTCTTAATATTCGAGCAGAAGAGAAATAACAGAAATTGAAGTTATGAATCTGATGCATCAAACCCATATTCGAAATCGCATTATCGTGATGGCCGCAAATGTCCACCGTAACCTACCCGGTCGGTCAGCAAATCCTCAACGTGGACTGCGAATCTTATACCTTTCTTCGCCACATTCCACATTCCACATGCCACATCCAAATGGAGACAGTATGCGAGCCATGCTGGACATGTCGCAACCGCCGCATCCAATGCGACCAGTCCGGAACACCATGCGCCAAGTGCGAGAAGGCTGGCATGGAATGCTTCGACAAAAGACCTCTGAGGTGGGTTAAAGGCGTGGCGATTCGCGGAAAGATGCAAGGCCGTACGCACGAGGGTATATCGAATGGCTCTCCTATGCACACTTCTAGAATTACCAAATCGGCGCCATCGACACCGAAGAAATCGCATCGCGCGCTGGTCCAAGCTTCTGCCAGTACAAGCCTGCCGGTTACTTTGCAAGACCCGTCTATGTCAAATCTGGATCAAACTTCGAAGTATTATATAGACTACTGTAAGATCCGCATGCAAGCTCTAGACCCAAGGAATACTGACATCACATTCAGATAACGAACGGATATGCAAATTGTTCATTGTATACGACAGCGCCAGGAATCCATTCCGGAGTTTGATCTCCTTCGGGTTGAAAGATCCCGTCTTGCAGAAGGGCATACTTGCTCTCGCGGCGCGGCACCGTGCCAATACGGGCCAATCGTTCCATCAACTTCAAGCTCCGACACCTCCTAGCCTTATTAATGCCAATCGCGATGCGCTACTTTTCAAGCATCAAGCCATGGAAGCTCTCTCCCAGGTACTTGGCGATAGAACAATAGAAAAAAGTGACACAACCGTCGCTAGCATATTTCTCCTTATTTTCCTGGATCTCCTCGAGTTTGGAAGTGATGGTTGGAATTTCCATCTTGAGGGAGCCAAGGGTTTGATTGCATCACACCGGCCGATGCTGGAAACGCAAGCTGGAGTGAATAATGGACCTGGCCAGACAGTACAGGAAATCTGGGGGTTTATCTCCAATCAGATTCATTTGTGAGTTAGACCAAGCCTGATGGATGGTATAAATCTATGCGAGAGACTAACTGGTTATAAAATAGAATTGAAACGCTGGGAGCAACATTTTTACGACCCAAAGTACTGTCAGAATTCATATTTAACGGCCAAGCAGAGAGGCACCCCCAAGAAGAAATAGAGCAATCTTTCCTTGGATGTCCAGAGTTCCTGTTGTCGGCGATACAATTTCTCTCCAACGAAAGGGACACCATCGCAGGAGAGCTGCCAGATGGTGCCGCTCTCCAAACACATATACAAGATACCACCGCGATGCTGGAACTCATCCAAAACTTTGACTGTTACGCCTGGGCTTTGAGTCTCCAACATTCGAGACAGCCTTCTACAGACGAAATCAATAATCTCTGCAAATTATCACAGACATTCAAAACCGGGGCTTTGATATATGGGAGACGCGTTCTTGATGCACTCACAGAAACCATCACAGAGCAGGACGATTTGGTCTCTGAACTGTTGGGTCTGATTGCTAATCTGAAAGACGACGAGGCGCTTTTCAAATGTGTTCTGTGGGCTATCTTTGTGGCGGGCTTGGAGTGTCGGTCTCAGGCCCAAAAAGACTTTTTGGTTGAATCTTTAGAGAAGTTTTGGACTGAGACAAGCTGTTCGAATGTTATCACCGCAGCGAAAATCTTGAAAGATTACTGGGACCAGGAAGACGGCTTGGAGACACCCTCGCGGTGGATATTTGATATTGGTCGCTTGGGTCGTGACTGTCTTCTGATATAACATACCAAGCATTGAGAATAACTGAAATTCCACTGAAATTCCTCATATGATCAAGCACAAAAAACAAAACATAATCTCAACTTTGCTATCATACTAAAAGCGACTTAAATGCCTGGAGCAAGTCGTCTTTCAGATCCTCCCAGTTTTCTAGTCCAACGCTAACTCTCAGCAACTTCCGGTCAATCTTGGAATCCGACAAAGCCCGCCACTCAATCAAAGACTCCACGCCGCCTAGACTAGTAGCATGCTGGAAGAAGTGAAGCTTAGTTGGCAAAACCTTCGCCAACTGCTCATTGTGTAAGACAATAGAGAAGACAGGTCCAAACCCATTAGGCATCTGCTTCTGCAACCACGGCTCATCCTGCAGACTAGCATGGTAAATCCTCTGTACAACCGACTGAACAACCATCTCCTCACTACCCGCAGCAGGAGACTCAGCTTGCATAGCAGCACGAAGCCAGGAAATCAACCTAGCCGAATTCTGGCTAGCTCGCTGAACCCGCACCTCCAGCGTGCGCAGACTCCGAATTCCGAGCCAGCTCTCCATATTCCCCATCACACTTCCAAGCGCAATTCTATCCTCAAACAATCGCTTCGTCCAATCAGCACGCTTCGTAGCAAGTACACCACAGAGTAAATCGCTATGTCCACCGAAATACTTCGACCCGGAATGCAGGACGATGTCCGCACCCCAGAGGAACGGATCCTGCAGTCCAGGCGGCGCAAACGTACTATCGACAATGAGAAATGCGCCGCGGGAGTGCGCCTTGCGCGCGTATTCCTCGATGCTGAACGCTGTCCCCAGCGGGTTGATAGGTGTCTCTAGTAGAATGACATCTCCGGAACCTAGGCTTTCGGCCGGACAGTCCAGGGCGAGTTTCTGTAGCCCCGATAGACGAGATATCACCGCGATGACTTCGTGGCTGCCGTGGTATCCCTCGCCGACGGAGATGTGGCGTGGGTTGAGCAGTGTGAGAGCGGCGTGCAGGGCGGCTAGTCCTGTTGAGTAGCTCACTGCTTGTCCGCCTATAAGGGATGAGAGCACTGCTTCGAAACGAGTTGCGTTTGGTGCGAATTCGCGGGAGTAGACATAGTTCTTCCCGTTGAATTCATCCTAGATGAGGTTGTTAGTTGGGAATATGGTTCTTTAGGTGTTGGATTGAGACGCACTACTGGATCCTCGGATGGGATGAGTTGATCTGGATCATTGGGGTATCTGAAGGTTGTAGAGAGATGGATTGGGGGTGCGACGTCAGTCACTAGATTAAGGGTATCGTCTGCATGCAATGCTTTGGTGGAAGGGCGGGCGTTATGAGAGGCCATTTTGCTTGGAGAATATTGAAAGTGCTTTTCAGAAAGAAAATGGAGGGTTTTTATATCAAAAGGTTGACCTCTTCTATCAACTCTGGGAAGACCCACTCCCGTTAACTTCCTAAAACGGAAGTATAGAAAAGTCCTATAATAAAAACATATCCAAAATATGCCTGAGACATAATGCTTTTATTTCAAGGTTATATAATGAAAAGTCGTCTGCGTATCTCAAGCCTGTTTCCGCATTTTTTCGCCGTCAATCTATAAAACTGAGAACGGCGAGAAAAGAAATTTATCTAAAGAAATGGAGATAGTGAAGGCAGAGATAGCCAAAACTGCCATCAAGGTCATATATAAGGCAAGCTTCCAAGGTCAACTTAGAGCAGAAGCAATATGTTCTCCCCATTCCTCTATCCTGCCTCTCTATCCCACCTCTCCATTCCATCTCTCCATCCCATTTCCCATTCACCACATCCTCTAACACCCGAAGTTTCTTCACTATGGAGAAAGACCGTGTTGAGGGTAAGTCATTCTCTAAGTTTTGAGTACTTTCAGCCTAATAATATCCAGAACCCCCTGAGAGTGTTGAGACTACCTCCAATGTGTTCAATCTGTTGTTAGATGAGATCACAGCCCGTTGCAACAAACAGACAAAGGAGGTCAACAAATGGCTTCTCTACACCAAGAATTTCAAACAGACTATTGCCGATACATTGGAGAAGGAGAAACTCAAGAAACAAGGTGCTGATATCAAGGCTATGAGGTGGCAACCTAGGACTCCCAGGACCCCTAGAACACCGAGAACACCGAGAACACCGAGAGCATTCCAAATACCTAATTAATATGGTATCAAATCTATTGTTTGAGTTTTGTGGTTTCTTCAAGTTTTGAAGAGAAAAACAATGGGCCGATAAAAGTCGACCCCAACGTCTCGGCCCCGGCTTTTCCCCCTCACATCTTCTCTTCCAACTTATCACGCCAAAATGCCTCCCTCGGCTCAAACGGTAAGCCATTATCTACTCTTCTGTTTCTTTTGTGCATACATATTCCATGATCCGCACACTTTCCCTAAATCTTGCTACCTGGAGCTCCCAAGGCTACCCCGCACTGCCTATATAACATCTGCCTGCAACCCCCATGCGCGTCTGATACAGAAACAAAACTAACATGGAATCAAAGACCAGACTAGTTTCCACTCTCCGCCTACTTATACCCCGTCTCCGTCTCCTACAAAAGAAAGACACAGCCTCCTCAGTCGTCCAACGCCGCGAACTCTCCCAACTCCTCACCGAAGGTCGCGATGCATCAGCGCGCATCCGAGTCGAAAATGTCATCGCAACAGATATCGCAGTGGAGGTAATGGAGATGGTTGAGCTCTACTGTGAGCTGCTTCTGGCGCGCGCAAACGTGTTGGATCAGATGGCCTTCAGCGACCAGGGTACCCGCGCCCGACTTCGCGCCAAGGAATTGCTCAAGAAGCGCACCCAGGAACAAGATGGTGCTACGGCATCAGGTACCGCAGGCGTCAAGGGCGCCGGGGAGAACACTGGCTCGCGATTCGGGTTCTCTTGGCTGGGAGGAGGAGCGCAAAAGAAGGAGGCTGAGCGGGCTGCGCCGATTACAACTGGTGCGGATGACTCTGGTGATGGACTTGCGGATGACGATAATCCCTACATGGATACTGCCCTCGACGAGGCTGCTACTGTGGTTTTCTACGCGTGGCACCGCTTTCCGCATGAGGTGCGCGAATTTACTATGCTTCGCACTATGCTGGGCGAGCGATACGGCAAGGAGTTTATGACTCTGGCGCAAGATAATAAGGTCGATACTGTCAAGGTTCCGGATCGACTTCTCAAGGGCTTGCGTGTGCGTCCGCCAGGACAGGAACTCGTTGAGAGTTATCTTCGAGAGATTGCGAAAGCATACGGCGTTGAAGGGTATGGAGATGAAGAAGAACTGGGAAGTGCGCCGGAATTTGTGGATGATCTTGGTGATGGTGATGGCGACGCAGAAGAACCCCAATTACCACAAACTCCTGGCAAGCAGCAAGGAGACTCAGCGTTGAGACCGAACCTCTCTGGAACGAGACGTGCCTCAGAGACCAGTGAATTGACTAAAGCTACGCCTCCCCGTGGACTCGCCGCGGGCCGAAGCCCTGTCAGCGTTGCGCCGCCAGCTCCCAGAACAGATAATCCTCATCCCAGAGTCAAGCTTCCCGGCACAGAGGGGAAGGCCGCTGCTGTCTCAAAGGAGGATGGCTCTAAGAGCAAGAGTAACAATAGTGGGATACCCGAGCTGGATGAACTGACACGAAGATTTGCGGATTTGAAAAGGAGACCATGATTGAGAAGCTGGGTCTCTCAATATTCACCAGAATTCGGCACTCAGCGTCTTGATATTTAGCCATTTTTCATGTTGGTTTCCTTTCCAGTGCCTTGGACATGGCTTAGGCAGAATGTCTTGCTTCCAGTCCTGCATAATACATCACGCCTTCTCATTTTAAACGATGCACGTTGATTGCAGTTGACTGGCTATCCGTGAAATGCCACATTGTAAATTAGACCAAGTGGTCCACTTCCCCAAATACGACAGGTCATATTTAGGGAGCGCCGGAGTTGGAGGATACGGAGACGTATCCTGTACTCTGTACTTCCAAGGTTGGAGGCAAACGAAAGATAATGTTACATTGGAATTAGCACGGCTCTTATCGATAGGTGACTCCAAAAATATTTATGTGAGTGCACTACGGGAGAATAATAGAGCACGTAAGAGCTTATACTACCAATCTCTAAAGCCAAATAATAATTTACCACGTGATAGAAGCAATAGAAGCAAGGCACACCCCCAGAGCTGTGGGTTTTCAGGTTGCCTAAAAATCTAACGAAACAGGCTGATCATAGCTCAAATATCGAATTTCACTCAATATTTGACGCATTGAAGCAGTACAGATCGGAACCCTGTTGGAACTACGCACGGGACCCGCAAAACCCAATCGCGTCGATACACCTCCCGGAAAAAGCGAGCCATGACACAGACTTAATATGAACTCCGAATCCCCTACAAATCCGATCCCCCCAGCTAGCAGTCGCTAGACACTGCGACAAACACCCCCGACCCCCGAAAACGCCCCTGAAAAGGCCCAACTACTATGCCGGTCTATATGCTCCACGGCTTCCGCTGGCCCCGCGCCGGGTTCACGGGGATCCGCGTTTACATCGTACTCCACAACCTGGAAGAAGCAGCAGCGGAATACATTCAGCAACCGTTAACGACAGAGCTCCTCGCTGAATCCTTCCACAAAACACAAGCGGACCTCGTGACCCGTCTGCCGGAGCTGTCGTTTATCGAACAGTATGACCCCGCCGATGAAAGCAGTGGCACGGTCAGCCAGGACCATGCGTATATTTCAACGCGGGTTCTGGAGATTCCGGAGGACGGGAGTGGTGGTGGTGGCGGAGAGAATATTGAGGATTGCGTGGAAAAGGGATCTGGGTTGACGGATGACCAGATGGCGGCACTAGAGCAGTTGCGCGATCGTCTTGCTCCCGGTGAGAAAATTGGCTGGTATCTTGTTTACAATGGAGATCCCGAACGGTGGTTTCCTGATTCTGAGGACGAGGAGGATTACGAGTCTGAGGAGGACTCCGAGGAGGAGAGCCAGACGAGGCGACAGAGTCTGGTCCAGAGTCAGAGGGAGAGCAGGAGTAGTTTTACACAGACTCCTAGTCCGCAGAGCTATACGGTATGTTGGTTCCTTTCTTCCATTTTCCATTTTACTGGGGAGGGGGTTTTCTGCGGAATTTCCCTCGGTCTTACTGCTACATGGTTGCTAATGGAGTATTTCTAGACTCGTCTGACGAGATTCTGGAATCGGATGAGCTCGGGGTGAGAGCTGTGGCTGGGTGCTATGGAACATGGCAAATCAGATCGATTTGTTCCGTCACTACGCAGTGTCACTCGATTCCCTCGTTGTTGCATGTGTTACACCGGGCTGTGATGGGAGCTTTTAACGAATTCTACGCTTTATGTCTGTTGATACTCTATGTCTTGCAAATATTGTTATACTAGTTCAGTTTATGTATTGGATATCTCATGGGAACCAAATTGCTTGCAGATTTAATAGAATAACTTACTGTAATTCTACAATAGGTGCTTTTATTTCACCTGCATCTCTATAGAATCCGATCTGGAGCGGTGAGCCTGGGCAATATGGGAGGGGAGCTTCGATAACGGGAACAGCGGAGAACATCCAAAGCTTGTCGCAACACTCCCCCCGAGTGGTTCATAAATGCTGACCAGGTAACATCCTGGCTTTTAATCACAATGGTCCTCTCCTTTATCCTGGTTCAGAATCGCCAGTGAGTGGCTGTCCGTTCCGGTCATTTTCGATTTCCACACTAATGACGGTATAGGGGGAAAACACGCCTGGCGAAATGGTATTCACCATACAGTGTGAGTGTTGCCAGGACCCCATCAGTCAATACAGAATCAGGACTTTGAGCTGACGCCTGCTTACAGGATGAAGAGAAAGTCAAATTGAAAGGCGAGGTTCGTCCATGCAATACCACCCGCACCCGCACTTGCTCCGAGGTTCCCATCCAACTAACCACCGAAAACCGTCTAGGTCCATCGCCTCGTCGCCCCCCGAGATCAAAAATACCAGTCCAACTTTGTCGAGTTCCGCCGGAGCACCAAGGTCGTCTACCGAAGATATGCCGGCTTGTTCTTTTGCGTCTGCGTCGATGCCAATGATAACGAGCTAGCCTATCTCGAGGCTATCCATTTCTTTGTCGAAGTGCTGGACCAATTCTTTGGCAACGTGTGCGAACTGGATTTGGTCTTCAACTTCTACAAGGTGCGTACAAGTCGCTGGAAATGCGCTGCTCGGCATGAACTGGGGCTGGCGTGGGATCGGAGTTGCATGAATCATGATACTAACATGTGCTGGGTTTATAGGTCTATGCTATCCTGGACGAAGTCTTTCTCGCAGGCGAGATTCAAGAGACAAGCAAGCAGGTTGTTCTCACGCGATTGGAACACCTGGATAAGTTGGAGTAGATGTGAACCGTGATATTCGGATTTGGGGACGATACGGGACCCTTATCGATTACGGACCTGACTGCATTGGACAAATTAAATCAAAACAGTCATTTGCATGGAGTTTCAGGTGTATCGGTGGCTTTCAGACAATATTAGTGCTGTTCATGTTCATATTAGGGATTATTCTGGAGATATCAAAGTATCGGTACAGCTCATGCCACCACTTAGGGGCCAATGTTGAAATCACTGATCGTGCGAGTACCCTGCATACGGTTCTCTCTATTCTGCCTGTTCATTGTGGACGAATAGGCTTTTCATAAACGCCTTTGCTTGTTTGTATGGTAAACGGAATATTATCGCAGCAGAATATCGATTATTTTCCAGCGTCAACTCACAGAAGCCCTTCTAGGGTCTTCGAGTGGTGGATGTCTTTCTCCAGGGGTGCGTATATCTTCCAAGGTTCGTATTCGTATTATGACTAGAGTAATCCCAGCCTACACGCAAGATCACATATTCCATATTGCTTTGTATAATATCTGATTCGACTCGATCCTAGTCAAATCAAAGGTTATACATAGAAAAGTCTTAAACACAAAGTATACTTTTGTTTCCGCCTTTTTCTGCTATCTATCTACACAACTGAGCAGGGGGAGAAGATATCTTAAAGACATCTATGTTGTAAGAAGACTACTAAAATGACTATTTGAAAGACTACTTAAAAGACTACTAAAAAGACACCACAAGGCCGCATACGTGGCCCTCTACTCTTGTAGGTTATACATGGAAAAGGCGTTTTCACAAATTAAGCCCCTGGTAGATATCTTAAAAAAGACAGCTAAACAGAATATGTGAAAGACCACTGAAGAGACATCAAGGCCGCACAAGCGGTTAATTATTTTCGGATTTCTTCAATGGTAATGATCGATTCCTGCTCCTTGGACATGCTGTGATGAACAGGCCTGAGACAAAGAAGCTGATAATCTGCAGAATCGAAGTCTGCACATGTGGTTGTCAGTGCCAAGTCTTTCCCTCGTATTCGCTCCAGGGCTTTCCGCCTAAGGGTTCAGAATATAGCTGTCACTGCCGAAAACACTGCCGTCGGTGGATGCCTGGCGGAGACGGAATGTGCAAACTTGGAAACCCAAGAGCTTTAAGCTTAGATTAGATTGCAACGTGATTGTTTCCATTTTGTGGAGGCACTTCCTAATTGGTCATGGCTTGGTGAGGTGATCGTAGCCATCGATGGCGAGCGTTAGTCCAAGGGTCTTGGCACAGCACACTTAAAGAGCTCTGTCGCTACCATTAAAAAGGGTCTGCCCTGCTCAGACATTCTTCTTCGATTTTACTCTTTTACTACATTCTACTGGCCACAAAGAGTATATCCTACTCTAACTTCAGCATGCACGTTCCAGACGAAATATCGTGATGGATTATTCACCGGAACAACATCATCCGTTATAGACTGACTATGACATACTAGCTCTGCCTACACAGCCTCACAGACATCTGCTCAGTCTTGCTGGACACGTGATAAAGCCTGTTTGTCTGGCCCCACGAGGACCATCTCCCCAAATGGAAACTATCTCAGCAACACGGGACGATCAGTTCAACCGTACTGATGCGTGACACCACCGCGGAAATCTTCACACATTGCACAACGGACGCTTATACCCCTGGCGATGAAAATCATGTGAAAATTCGTTTCTAACCCCAATGCCGACTCCCCCTGATCAATACTTGGTGGATAACGGCATTGTGTCCGCGATACATCGAGCGGTCTTTCCTGTGATAGGCAGCGTGACGGGACGATCCAGGAGAAAGGCCCCATCATGACAGGCTGAAACTTCTACATACTTTCCGCGGTGTTGAAGGTAAATTGGACCGGGCTTGGCATGTGGAACTCGCAACTACAGTCTCGAACGAGCCAAATGCAATCAATCTGATGGAGCGGGGGCACCGGATTCTCGTACCCGCAACGTTTTCTTCTGGACACAGCTTTGATCTGCGTGGAACATTGTGGGCCAAGCTCGGCAGACACAATTTCAGTTTCACTGTTGTGTCCTGAATATGAGATGGTATGCAGCAACACAGCATTGCAGCATACATACGAAGTAGAGAAGTCTACGACGATCTATGAGCTTACGATGTAACTCAGAACAGACCTTCGGAAATATGCACTCTCCACAAGTTGAAGGTGTACGCGTTTCCATTTACAGCTCCACCAATGACTGACAATGCATGGATCTTCGCCAAAAACTTTTTCGGAGCATACGTGGATCAGTCTTGGCAGGAACAATGGTAATTTTCATTTACCAAAAATTCCCGCCTTTTGCATACCATACAATACCATACACCCCACACACCCCTGACAATCCATATCCCTGTGCGTCAGCTTGTGACGTCGTGCCTCTATGCGCCTGTATACGTTGCCTGTATACGTTATACGACTTTTCGAGGTATCTCTTTTGACTATACAGAGCACCGAGTACCACTTTGTACACTCATGGGCCTCGGTTTTAGAATCCAAATGGGGTACTGGAATGAAGGAATTGCCCAGTGGAAACATTGCCACTCGCGGGGATAGGACTTCGGGGGTGGAAAAGTGGTTCGAGGCTCGTCATTGGCACACGATGAATGCCCACTCTACCTTCTATCTCCCTTGGAGATCAGTTCAGGCCTGGATTTCTTTTTTAGCTGGTTCTTTTTTTGTATTTATTCATTTATTCCTTTACTCTTCCCCTTATCTCCATATCAACCTCTTAAAAGCCCCCATTCCTTCTAGACTTTTTCCAGTCTTATACTTTCTTTATCAAGCTCTACTTTCTTTCGTTAATACACTTCTTCACTCTCTATAGAAGTTCCAACTATACTGAAGTGCAATTGACCTTATAAACATGTCTCTTATGCTCTCCGATAATCTGGCTCCCCAGCCCATGACCGACATCTTCACCGATGACACAAACATTGACCGCCGAAAGTGCCACCGCACAGTGCCTATGAAGGTTCTTGCTCTGGGTGTTGGTCGTACCGGAACTGCCTGTGAGTATGATGTGCTGTGTTGCGTTGGACTTGGTGTATTGTATATACCGGGTCTGATGGAAACGAGAAACATATAAACTAACTACTATTTGACAGCTCTCCGCAAGGCCTTTGAGCGTCTGGGCTATGGCAAGTGCTACCACATGATGTGCGCAAGTGTTGAGAACCCGCCGGATTGCCTTATGTGGCACGATGCCCTGAACGCAAAGTACAACGGAATCGGCGAGTTCGGCCGCAAGGAATGGGACCAGCTTTTGGGTGACTGCCAGGCCGTCTGTGACTGGCCTGCCTGTGCCTTTGCAAAGGAGTTGATTGAAGCATACCCCAATGCGAAGGTCATTTTGACCACCCGTGATGTCGACCCGTGGCACGCGTAAGTCACACCTTATACATCTATATTTTTGCACCTAAGAACACGATACTAACAAACCAACAGCTCCGTCATGAAGACCGTCTTCTGGCGTGTCTCAGACCCAGAGCACAAGTTCGTGTCGAACTTCAGCTGGGCCGCTGGCATGTACTACCCCATGCTGAACAAGTTCTTCGAGACATTCTTCCGCGGTGACTTCCCCGGAAAGGGCAAGCAAGTCTACGAAGATCACGTCGCCCAGGTCCGCAGCATGGTTCCCCCCGAGCGTCTGCTCGAATACAACATCAACGACGGCTGGGCCCCGCTCTGCGAGTTCCTCGAGGAGGAGGTCCCTGATACCCCCTTCCCCCGCGGTAACGACATGGCCGACTTCTATAAGCGCTGCAGCACCCGCAACCGTCACCAGATGATGAACGCTGCCCTCCAGGCCGTCACTATTGGTGGTTCGCTGCTTGCCGCTGGCTTCGCTGCTACTTTGGCTTTCAAGCGTTTCTCCCCTCGCTAAAATGCTCGTCCTTCCATCTTGCGCATTTCTTTTTGTCATATTCCCCACATCTCATATTTTTGCTGGCTGCTAGTGTGCGCAGGCGCCTCTAGCATGTTGCCATACCCCGTGGTCGTTTCTGTTACTTTTTTTCTGCTATCATTGGAACAGACTATGCATCTATCACGTCGGTCCCCTTGTTTTGGCATCTTCATTCTGTCATAATTGATTTAACGAGGGACTTATTGGAGAACAATCCGGTAATAAAACAGTATATACTATCTCATTTTTACTATCTTTCCTCCTGCATACCCCGTACCAGTGCATCAAATCATCCCCAGCTTTCAAATCGAGGGATGAAGCACAAGGGAGCCTCTTACCCAAGGCTATGGCATCATCATGCAGTGCCTAGAGGCAAGGGGCGCTTAGAATCTTAGCCAAGGAAAGCCTTACGGCCGCCTTTTTCAATCGATCGGGGTCAATGCAAGGTGCACATGGAGTAGAGCGATTGATCAAAAACAGCTTAATCACACGCCGATATTGATCAATTGTACATGTACACATAACATAGTAACAGTTTCAACAAGTAAATAAACACCAACTAAATCCAGCCGTCCATATCCGGTCCCAAGTCCTTTCCACTCTCGTACTCGTACGAAATACGAAACAAGAGAAAACGTACTAGTACCAGCCACACTTTATTGGAGAAGCGCCGTGGAGATTTATTGACTAGTGGCTTGGCATTGTAGGAAAGTGATCCACATTAATTAAGTGGACCAAGCGATATGTATGTACTTAAAATACATACAATATTGAAAGTTACGTGTATTGTTATTTATTGTTATGTTCTTGTAATAGAGAAATAACTGATACAACTGCTTCTCTCTATTCCAATATACAAAAATAAGCGGGGGTCAGAACTTGCTTATTTCATTCTAGACTCGGGAACGGATCCTCTTAGAAGGCTTGAAGGCTTTGACGGAAATACGTAATAAAGATGAGGTTGGGTTCGTGTACGTGCACTAATGAGACCTTGAGTAATCGGTCCATTGTTTGCAGATTAGATTATTTTGGGATTGAGTTCGACGGCACATGTGAACTTTAATCTTTGGGGCTTTCTGGGCTTGGGCGGGTGATTCTGGGGATTGCACTGCGTTAGGTAAGAGGTATCCTGTAGTCATGGACACCTGATAGGTCCTCTTTACCTCTTTGTGAGTGCGCTGGAAGTATAAGATCCCGATTTATCTAATGTCTATCTATCTGTGTAGCTTCTAGTGTTGAATGGTCTACTCTGTGTAGTGTACTATTCCACATGGAGAATCTTACACACGAGTTTTATGCTCTTAATGCATAATAGGTTAATTGATCCATGAACATGTGGTGTCCGTGGATACGACAGTATCCATATCGTCTGAGATTTACCCCCTAATTATGGATACTAAATGCCCATGCCACGGATATGGTAGGTCCAAACCTAATGCACGTGTACCAGAACAGAGGTTGCAACAAAGATTGCCTGCGTATGCTCTGACGACGCACCATGCGACACCACTGTACCCGAATCAATCCTCCACGGTCAATTCAATGGCATACGCAACGAGTGGTGCTTCTCAGCCACATGCACATGGCTTTTAGGTTTTTACTTTATCGGAGGGCCTGGATCTCGGGAAGACTAGAAGCCGGATCCATTGGTTCTACCTCCTGAATAGGATAAGTCACCTGCGCGGATTGGGGATTCAGCTGTTCATCTAAGTTTGGTTTGCGGCTAATTGGGTGTTCATCCATGGTCCCGTTCCCGAGCCACGTTACGTGGTTGACGTCTGCCCGAGCCTTTGATATGAATAGAGGACATTGAGTATACAGAGCAGGTACGATCTCGGAGTTATGGTGTTCGGGGCTTGTTAGCGGCAGCCACATCGCATTAGCCTTGCGGCCATGACGTGGCCCCTGGGAAATACTCGTACCGTCACATTATCTGGGACACGTATTGAAGGTAAAAAGAAAATAACAATCAAGGTTTTCAGTAGCGATAGTTAGACGATCAAATGTTTTGAGGGTGATCGTGATCGTTTAATTTTGATTTTCATCGTATACATAGTATCAATTCCCCGAACACTCCCCCCACAACTTAAGCAACTGAGACAACTTGTGGCAGGACTAGGCACCTTGGCACTGGACGGGTGTTGGCTGAGATTCCCTTGACTAAGCACTTTGTCTAGCTTTAAATGGCTTTTAACCAATGAATATGGACGATCAGCGCAGCTTGCGCCCCACTATCCATGCAAAAAGCATGCATTGACAGGTGGAGAGGGATTCGTACACACTGTTTGCTTACCTTGAGCGTCTTTGGTGTCTTTGGCCTTGGTTGAGTATTAGGCCTGGCCTGCGTTTTCTATATTTCTCCTTCATGAATTGCCTTCAATACAACCTCACTTGCATACATTCTTTTTTGGATGATCTTCTTCTTGTCTGGTTCAACAAGCTTTGTTTTATATCTTGCATCAGGAACTGATGCGAAGAATCCACGGGGCACTCCATGTTTTCCCCTTTAAGGACTGCACCATCGCTCTTTTTTTTTGGTATCCTCTGGTTATGCGCTATTGACAGTGCGCTTGGAGAGGAAACATCTTTTTATAAATCGGTATGTAGAATTAGTCTGACACTCCCAAGCGTACATTTTGACTGAAATTATCATCGGTGCAACAGAGACCCGATATATACCCGCCCGTCTTTAATGTCGAAAAGTCCGATCCAGGCAAGCTCAGCCCGGGCTACATTTTCATCACACCTTACGAACTCCAGAATCCCGGCCCGTACATCTACGATAACACAGGGGTAGGTTTTATTTTGTGGATTGATATTCGCCGATTATATAAAAGCTAACCGGGCACGCCGTCAATAGGAATTAGTGTGGAGTGGCTGGGGTATTTCGGGACCTGGCAACGCCCATGGCCTCCACGTGTGTAAATACAACGGTTCCGATCACCTATGCTTCTTCCAGGGCAGTCAGCAAAAAGGATACTGCCGCGGACATGGTATTATCATGGATAAAAACTACCGAGTTGTGCGGTCAGTTCAACCGGGTGGAGGAATGGCATCGAGCGACATGCATGAATTCCGTCCCATCAATGATGGCAGAACCGCTCTCATGACCATCTACCAGCAACGGCAATTCGACATGACACCATGGAATATCAAATCTGGCGTAGGGTGGCTGATGGAGAGTGTTTTCCAGGAAGTCGATGTGGAGACAAACAAGGTCCTGTTTGAATGGCGGTCTCTTGATCATGTTGATCCGTCATCGAGCTATACATGGCCGTCTCATACGGATACATCCGGAACGGGGTTGAACGTACATGAGCCTTGGGATTACTTCCATATCAACTCCGTCGATAAAAATGCTGCTGGTGACTATCTGATTTCGTCGCGGCATACTTCTGCTATTTACAAGATCTCCGGTAAAGACGGCTCGGTGATGTGGCGGCTTCATGGCGCGCAGTCCTCTTTCCGGAATATCAATTTTAGCTTTTCGCAGCAGCACGATGCCCGGTGGTTACAGGAGAACGCTACGCACACAATCCTCTCACTTTACAACAATGGCTATAATGGCTTCAACAAGACCCATGACTATTCAGCGGGCATGATTATCATGATTGACCACGTGGAAAAAACGGCCATCCAAATCCGCGATTACGCCCCAATTCGAAATGACCTAGTGAGCTCCAGCCAGGGAAACTTGCAGATACTCCCTAACCAAAATGCGTTCATCGGATGGGGAAATAACCCGTTCGTATCCGAGCACGACGAGGCAGGCAATCTCCTGTTTTGGGGCTCTTTCGCCAAGGACACCGTGATGAACTACCGCGCAATGAAGTTTGAATGGGATGGTGTACCGACAGACTCACCAGCACTATGGACATACGCCCGAACTGCGGAACCAATTTCTTCCACTAGCTTCTATGTCAGCTGGAACGGCGCAACCCGCGTCAACACGTGGCGATTTTGGGGAGCGATGAACACTACCGGACCTTGGACCTTGCTGGACGAGGTTCCCAAAAACGGATTTGAGACTGAATACACCAACGCCAGATTCTTCCTTTGGTCTAAGGTCGAAGCAGTAGATTGTGAGGGGACCGTTCTGGGAAAGTCCGAGACCAAGTATACCTTCGTGCCTTCCTCCGAGCTGCGCGAATTCTGCGCTACATCTACCTGCTCGGACGCACAAGGATATGGGTTCCCCGGCGAAGAGGCAGCCCGTCCTTTCATCCCGCCAGTAGGTGTCAATACTGTGCCGTGGATTGACCCCAACAACCCAGGGTCCAATATTTGGACAAATCCCTCGAGCTATCCTCGCCCTTCTGTTGCTCCAAAGCATTTGGACGAGTGGAACATTGGCCGTGAGTATACCTCGAACTAACTTTTTATTTCATCTAGTAAAAGAAGCAAAACTGACAATTTCACAGACCTTCTTGCCTGGGGCGCCGTTCTCCTCGTGGCGATCCCCCTCTTCGCCGGAGTCTTCCTCGCACATCGATACCACACCAAGCATTTGCTCAACCAGCTGCGGGATCAGGAGTCGGCTGGGCCTACGAACGGTATGATTGAGCGGAAACACCCTCCCATGCAGGCCGCAGATCTGCCGTGGTGGAATTGGCGCCGGTGGATCGGGGAGGATGAAGCAATCTCCTACTTCCCGCTGGGTGAGCGGAGCTCATACGGCCACAGGCGCGGGAGAGAGCGGAACGAATAGTCAAGCACTCATCCTTTTGCTTGCGTACATACTACGATAAAATATAGATGACTACACACTATACACATTTTCTCTTCCACCTACTACTTAAATAGGAAAAGATCTTTAGCAGAAATTATGTAGTGCGTACGGAGTACATAGGATATAGACCTAAGAATAGAACAAACAGTCCATAATAGGCAATACCACAATAGGGAAAACCACGCGGCGCGAGGTAACTAAAGAACAATGGGTGGATGTTTCCACTGTATGTAATGCAATACACATCCCCGAAAAATACCTAAAGCCGACACCCGCGCCTACGCACTGGGTATACGTACCTTGGGAACGAGCGGAGCTGATCGATAACTTTTTAGCGCTGGGCATTCAGCTTTCGTATTGACTGCTTTGTTGAGAAATAATACGACGTTAGATTTTTGTTAGTTTGGCTAGTACAGATGTGGCAAGTGGTGCAATATTGAATGTACATATATAGATTTACAAAATATGTCAATTATACATGTCTATCACTATGTCGATCAAAATATGCAAAGGGAAGGCTACGATCTACTGTGTCAAGACTGCCTGGAGTGCTAAGGTACACGTCTGTATTAGTGTATCAAAGTGGCTTTTTTTCCACTGACGTGGAATGTGGCTGAAACCCTTGAGCTCTGGGCGCTAACTATTGCCGCCGGCTCTAGAACCTTTGAGTTATTAATTTAATATTTTTTTATTACATTCAATGTTTCAATGTATTCAAGCTTAAACGGTCCTATGGATAAAGTATCCACCTGAAACCTTTATGAAACCTAGACTTAATACATAACTTCCTACATTAGTACAACATACGCAAGTGCATATCTAGAAGAAATCACATAAAATTGGGACTGTAAAGTATTGTACGGAGTAAGTGAAACTAATATAACTTTTCGTCCACCACGGTTCGTACCTTACATGCCAAGACTTCCCTCGCTAAAACGCATCGAGTCCGCGAGTCATGGTCCAAGGGAGGAGGGCTCGGCAGGGAGATGTGGAGCAGTCGTCGCAAGCTGGCGGTCGTTGTCGATCTATGATACCAGAGAGTGGTAGTGTATCTAATATGGGATGTTTGCGGTGTAAACTACATACAAATTACATGGTGAGGCTGCCCGCCATAATTAGAAATTAATTCCGGGAACCGTATCCTAGGAAGCGGTGGACTATTCCATTCAAATGTTTATTAATTCCACGCGATCGCGAATACCCTTTTAATCACGCTATACTCAACATAAAAAGGCGGAATAAAATTCTCCACCATGCGACCCCATGAGGCTCTCCAGTGTTGATTATGCATGGCACGGTAGAACTCCCAATATTCCGGCCAAAATCCAGCTAGGCCCCAATCCAATAGAACAACAGTGCCATCAGTCCGAACAATGATATTCCCTGGATGTAAATCCGCATGTGTAAACAAGATCTTGTGATTTTTGAGACCTCGGACCGTCTGGTACAGCACGTACTCGTTGTTGAAAAAGTTGGATTCGATGTCATGTTCACGTTCGAGCACTTTCGGGGGCAATCGGTCTCGCAAAGCTTGAATGATTCCTTCGTCAAAGCTTTCTTCGGATAGGTATGGCCCATAGCTGTATTTAGTGTAGTCGCCGTAGCCGGCCTCGAATATGCCGTCTCGACAGGGTGATCTGTCAAGTCCACCGATGAAATCCCCTGGAATCTCCCGCATCTGGTTCACGTAGTCCCGTAATTGCTCCAGTATGCAATCTTTCTCAACCTGCGAAGCACGGTCCCAGTATTGTTCGAGTGGCTCGCCCGCTACATATGACATTACAATGTATCCAACATCGTCAAGAATATATGCACTGAGAAGCCTTGGTGTTGCTATGGTCGTACGGGTCGATGCCAAATGTAACGCTTCGGCTTCACTTAAAGCAACACCATGACCGAATTTCACAACTGTCTCTGAATCTGCAAAAACAAGACGCGCGCCCATTTTGTCGGGACAAAGGTCGTCTGCCGTCTGCAAATCGCCAGGGTCGAGTATGATAGGTGGAGGTCCAATGGTTTCTGAGTAAATTAGGCGAGGTTTTTGCTCTTCTGTTTCCAAGTCTTCGGAAGAGGTGCAGCCGGCATTCATAGCGGAAGCTGCCGTTTCCTTTTCCACCCCGGTCTTCTCCATGTCAGTACTTGCTGCGGCACTGGTCTCCGGGGTCTCAAGACCGATGTTCTCTTTTGGTTCCTTCGCAAGACAGTAACTATGGAGAAAATCAGATTCCGCAAAAGATTCCCCAGTACCGCCATATCGAAGTGGAAGTTGTGAGCCAAGATATCGACCAAGATCCTCAGGATCCTTCAGCAGTACCGTATCTCTCAAGAGAGCGTCATCGATATCAAGATATGCGAGGTATTCATCACGAGGATTGATGATATATGCCTTTCCCAGAATATTAGGATAGTGATACCGAATGAATGTCACCAATTCTTCGAGGGCATTGCAGAGTTTTCGCTGGAAGGAATGTTGCCCTTCCTCGGTATTTTGAGTGGCATGTATCTTAAATTCAATCACACAGGAGGCTGAATAGTCATGTAGATCAGAACTAGCGGCTGCATGCAGCAAAAGCATGGAGAGCTTCTCCATTACAGCAATACCTAACTTGACCAATCCTTTAGATGTCGTCAGGCTTTGATGTATTGGTGAGTGTCCCTTAATAGTCATCTCATCAATGGTAACCCAAAGCACATATTGACCCTCAATTAAAGTAATATGGCACAAGTCCAAGTCTTGAAGGACGGATTCTGCTTCAGTAAGCAGACCCCTCGGGTCAGAGAAGCGTCGCCATTCCAAAGTTTTCTTGAGTGAGGCACTTGCCCTGGAGACTTGAAGTGCAGGGAATGCGGAATGGCTTCTGAGAAACCGTTGATAATTTAGTGACGAATCTCGGTGTGTGCCCGTAGTCTGAGTACCTTTTCTAAAATCACCTCCAGTATTTGACCCTCCGCGTGTTTCAAATCAACACCCCAAATCTCATCATGCCGTGACTTCGTCAAAATAGAAGGAAGAGCCTCCCGAAAACTACTAGCCGGAGAACATGATTTCCCCAATGAAATAGACATTATCAAAACTGCATGCTAACAGGTCGAAACGTTGTCAGTTAAACTGATACCCGAAATTTTGATTACAAGTCTATCAAAGGTTCTAGTACCGTATAGCAAAACGAATAATGACTGGATCCTTGCTTGTGGGAGAAAGTGAGGTAGCGATCCGCATCTTGAGCTTGTTGGGTGGCCCTCGATGTTCTTTGGGAGCCATGCGGGCCCAGTGGGCTTAGTCACTTAAATATTAGGATGGAGTCCAAGGACTAGGACCAAGTGAACTATAAAGCAGCATTGGGCGGCAACCACGCAAGATAGTCTGCTTGCAAAGCTTAGTTTCTCCCATATGGGTAGATGCGTATGTAGTTTGGCGAAAGTTGCTTCTTTACGCGTCAGTCCCCATATGCACTCCATGAGCATGACCAAGGTAAGTGTATATTGTATGGTCGTGCATGGGTGTGGCCTCCTCGAGCTGGACGAGTGCACAGTCCACTTGCGCTAGAGACAGGTTTATCAGCACCGCCTCAGCTCTGGGCGGAAGGGTGGGTTCAGCGTCATGGCCAGGAGACCAGAGGAATCGAAATACTGGTATTTCACTGTGTTTTAAATAATATATATTACACGTATGCAAAAATAAAGAAAAAAAAAACATTATTGTTCAGAAAATACTAGCGTTGTATTTTGCCCCATAATACGGTAGTAGAAAACATTCCTGGTGGGCCCCGGCAATAAAGGTACGGAGTACAAAAGAACGTCATCAACAAATTCCCCTGGGCGGAGATGATACAGCATACAGGAGATTGAAATTAAAGTAAAAATAAAACAAATAGCCTTTCTCTTCCTTCAAGTTTTCAATTACTTCAGTAACATCCAATAATAGTCGAGCCACGAAGCCACCCAAACTACGGAAAATACATGAAACCAAAAGGGCCTACGACTTATCCTTACGCCGCCTCGGTTTACACTAGTACATTCCTCAATGCCTGCCAGGACTGGAAATAATAAAACGAATAATGCCCGCCATGCGCGTACGACATCTTGGTCAAGTGGCTTCCATTTCATCCAGAACACCGGCGAATCCTCCGAAAACGCGCAAGGCCGCCGACGACGCGAGTCCAATACCTCCCTCGCCAGTGTTGAAGAACGCTCCTCCTCCCAAGACTCGCTCGACTCCTCTGCCATCGATGACACTATGTTAAGGAATACCTCAATGGATTTGGGTGGTGACCGCAAAATCCAGCATGTGCGCGGGCGCTCCGTTAACCATGGTCAACCACAGGTACTAACCCTGCAGGGGGAGGAACCCCCGACTGTGCGGGCGCCAGCACGCCCCCCGCTCGTAACGTGGATGTCGCTGCCGCGGAAGGGTCAATTGGTGTTGCTGGGGCTCTGTCGTGTGTTTGATTTCTTGCAAATCGCTTCGCTACAGGCCTACATGTTTTATCAGCTCAAGTCCTTCGACCCGAACCTCTCCGACTCCGATGTTGCGACCCAGGCGGGAATTCTCCAGGGTGCTTTTACTGCTGCTCAGTTTGCGACGGCGATCCCCTGGGGTCGTGTTGCTGATGCGGAGTGGGGTGGTCGGAAGTTTGTTCTACTTGTTGGTCTGGTTGGCACTGCGGTGTCTTGTTTGGGTGTCGCATATTCGACGTCGTTCGCGCAGGCCGTGTTCTGGCGCTCGTTTGGTGGCGCCATCAACGGCACCGTTGGTATTATTCGGACTATGATTGCGGAGAATGTTAAGGAGAAGAAATATCACTCGCGAGCTTTCTTGATTTTGCCTATTGGCTTCAACATAGCTTCGTTGTTTGGTCCTGGTGAGTGACTCGTTCTGTTAAGGCTGTTTACGGCCATGTGACAATCCGCTAACTGGTTTCGCAGTGATGGGTGGAATGCTGGCTGATCCCGTTAAGAGCTATCCCCGTCTCTTTGGTCCCAATTCTTCCTTCGGAGGTGCGGATGGAGTACAATGGCTCGAGAAGTACCCTTATGCACTGCCAATGTTCGCGAACTTCTGTTTCCTCTCTGCAACTGCAGTTTTGGTTGCATATGGATTAGAAGAGACCTTGGCATCTTGCAAAGGCAAGCCTGGCCTGGGTGTATTTGCTAAAAAGGTGTTTGCGCGCGGCGTGAAGAAGGTTTTCCCCTCTTCATTGTCCTCGTACACAAAGCTTCCGCTCCGCGACTACGAAGAGGACGGGCCTTTGCTGGGCCGCCCCACGGACCGCTCGGAAAGCTACGAGCTCGAAGAAAAGGCACACAAGCCTGCCCGCCTTCGACGTGTGTTGCCTTTCCAAAGAATCTGGACCAAGAACGTGTTGTGCACACTCGGTGCGCAGGCTTTCTTCGACTTCCAAATGGGTGCCTTTAACAACCTCTGGCTACTCTTCCTGTCTACACCCCGCTATGATGCCAATGACCCCGCGAGCCCTGCCCGGAGCTTACCATTCGCCTTCACCGGCGGACTGGGCATGCTGCCGCAGAGCGTTGGTTTCGCAACTGCTATTTTGGGTGTGATTGGCATGTTCCTCCAGTTCACCATTTACCCTACCATTAACGGCCGTCTGGGAACAGCCAAGAGCTACCAGTATTTCCTCTCCCTCTTCCCGATCGCATACTTCATTGCCCCCTATATCTCGCTGGCTCCATCTACAATTCCCCCTCCTGGCCAAGCCAACGGCCCCTGGGTTTGGTTCTGGATCATCGTCGTCCTCTTCTTCCAGGTCACTGCCCGAACCTTCACTCTTCCAACCTCTATCATCCTACTGAACAACTGCTCGCCGCACCCATCGGTTCTCGGCACAATCCACGGAATTGGCCAATCCGTATCGTCCGCCTTCCGTACCATTGGACCTATCTTTTCAGGTGCGTGGTACGGATATGGCCTGGATGTTGGCATGGTCGGCTTCGCTTGGTGGTTGATTGCATTGGTATCTGTGTTTGGCTGCCTTGCAGCTATCTTCGTATATGAAGGTTCCGGACATGAGATTATTCTTCCTGGTGAGGAAGATGAGATCTGATGTGATACGATATGAGTGTCTTTTTTCTCGAGAGTTGATTGTATATTGCTTCAACATTTTGCATATCATAAGGTGTCGGTTGGTTGGGTGCTTTTTGTTATATTACGCTTCAACCTCGCTGTCTTGCTGGTGCAGGTCACCTCAATATCTCCGACTGATATCTTTCCCATTTGCATTCATTGCTGCACCGGAGGGCAGTGTCGTTTTGCATATTGTACTTTGGGATAATATGCCTGCATCTGTTTTTTTCCCGCCTCTGTTTCTTGGATACCATTTTGCTTTGCGTCTTTCCTTATATTGCAGCATTTTCATTTGTCTTCCTATGTTAGAATAGAAAAATCCAGACACCGCTCTGGTCAGTTGATCCTCGCATCAAATTGAATGAAAGTCAATATACCATATACTATCTTTCCAAGCTTGATCATTCAACAAACTTTACCATGTATATTATTGCAAGTAATTCGGTCCTCATTTAGAAAACATATCATGTATTTTAATCTTGAAATCATATCTCTTCAAAAGGCCAACTCTTACAAGCTAGCTCCGTATCCCTTGACATAGCTCGCATCAAAAGTCTCCTTATTGACCGCATATTCACGAATATAATCCCTCTCAAGATCGTGTGTCCTCCGACCAAGAAGAACAAGACTGTGCAATGGCGCGCCCATCTCAACAGTAGACAGCTCCTTGAGCGTACCAGAAACAAGCTGCTGATTAGACGCACCAACTCGCGCCGCACCAACAGCCAGACTATCTGGCCCATAAATACCCTCCTGGCGTTCTTCCTCGGTCTCTAGCATCTGTGCCGCACACTGCGCAACAGTCATGTAACGCGGGGGCTCGAAAATGCGGCGTCCGCGCGCCATGTTCTCCAGCGACTGCTCCTTGACCTTAATATCGAGCAGAACCAGTGTGTGGAGTCCGATCTGAATGTTCTCGCGCACACGATCGTAGTACGATGACGGCTTCCAGGTCTCAGTGAAGAAGACCATGCTGACTGTCTGTCCGAAGTTGTACAGCTGGAGTCCTGTGCAGCCGATTCCGGACATGATCGAAGCGTTCGGGACGACTCTGGTCTCGATGCCAAGTTCGCGCGCACGGAGGACGAGGTCGGTATGAGTTGTTGCGCTGTTAGTGGTATGGGGTCAGTTATAGACCTTGTAGGGGAGATGAATAGAGATCGTACCCGAATGGATCTCCCACTACTAGGAACACAATATCGACTTTGTCGCCGCCGGCGAGAATGTCATCGCTGCCTGTCTCGACTAGTTCACGGTCTGCCTCGATGACGGGGCGGCCATAGAACGCTTCCTACTGGTGTTATGTTTAATCAGCCCATCTGCACAAAACATATGCAATAGTTCATTGGCATATGGGATTGAGAGTAAAAACTTGGAATTCAACTCACCAGCTTTTCCTTATCGACAAGAAGAATACTCGTGTATGCCTCTAGATAGACTCTCTCGGCCCGCTTCACGATCTCCAGACCGCGGACAGTGATATCGGTCTCATCAGCGAGACCAAGTCCAACTAGATGAAGCATCTTGGCTGTAAAGTCCCAGGTTATGCAATTGAAGAGAATGCAATGGATCTCACTGTATAACAAACAGTCCGAAAAAAAGAATAACCGTGCCCCGCGAGACCGGCAGAATGCTCCGCGACCGCCGGATTAAAGAACATCCGGTTATCGCTTATCTCCCCCAGATCGGCCTGTGCGCGCGCGTCCAGAGCTTCATCTCCTTGCGACCATCTTTCTTTGACTTTGCTTTTAATCAATCCAATACCGCTCACTCTTCCTGTTTGAATACCAGTTCAAGCTCTCATCTCGATCGCCAAAGACATTTCCCCTGGTAGGGTTACCGCCATCCATCATGAGCTCCGATCGGAATCCGAAGTATCGGCAGGAGATACAGCAGGTGAGTTCCTCCCCGATCTCTGGTTCATTCTGCTTGTGGCTTTCGGCATCTCGATCTTTCTGGCTCTCGAATATATCAATCATATGTCCTCATCAGGTCTGTAAAGACATCTGAAGATATTGTGCCTGTCGGCTGGCTTTGCGACACAACATACTTGCGACGCGCAAAAGCATTGTCTTTGGGGACAGTGCCGCAGTCACCTCGATTCCTCGAGTCCCACGGAAAGAAATTACCCTGGGAACTTCGAAGCTGCCTTTCAGGTTGGCAAATACGACCTCCACGGAGGTCCGGCTGGGCTTGCGACATATAACTTGCCTTGCGAATGTACTCATTTGCTGGAATAACGCCATCTCATCCTTATCTCCGATTTTCCAAAGCGCAGGTCGATCCTGAGTCCATGCATATGTGCTCGTACTCATTCTGTATCAGTCCAGCTGGCTTTTAGTCTTGCACTGTTGGATTGTTGGCATGCGCACATCGTGAGGTCGAGCAACAAAACTGCAATACCCGAAATGCGTAGATCACCCCAGCAACTGGTCCTGTCAATATCGAAGCTTTGGCATTAAGTCAGTGAGGGATACTGGGTTGAAGATTAGGGACGATTTCAAAGTTCCTAGAGTTGAGAGCAATTGGCAAGACGGTCGTGCCTTCTCTTCTATATTCTGATATTTGCGGGGGTCACGAGGCGAGCTTCTTATCGATATCGACATTGGGAGGGCTGCCACTCACTCTATCGGCTTGCCGAGGTGCCTGGATATCTCACTTATCCTTCACTTTCACCTTTCATTCACTTTTCCTCGCCACCTGTGTCTCAGGCATCCCTTCCACTGCATTGGGCACTTCATTTGTTTTCTCCATTCTTTAAGCATGGCGCCAATCATGTCTCCTCCCAGACTTGACGCCAGATCGGTCGTCGAGCTCTGGAGACAGCGTCGGGAAACAATTGCGCGAAATGAGGAATACATGAAAGGCTATCCTCATGCGACCTTGAGTGATCCCGATAGGACCGAGACCGAGACTGATCCTGATATGGTCTTGAGTGATCCTGATACGACAATGAGTGATTGGATCATCACCTCCCCTGTCAGTACGCCTTGTGCAGCTTCAGACTCGGGCTTGGACATCCCTGACGATATTTCCATGCATTTTATTGAAGACGTCTCTGGTGCGAATCAAGAGCACCTGTCGGACAATGCCCAGTCAGACTTCCTCGCCACTGGAGAGTCCGAGTTCTTCGCCATGGGAGAGTACTTCCATGATCTTTATACCCAGCATCATGGTCCTACCAAGGGAGCACTTGTTTGTCTTCGACTTTGCAGGCTGGGTACCCATATCTTCAACTCGCTCAGTTTTCAGAAGGACAGTGCTGCGACCAACTCCGAACCAGTGACTGGAACAATTCGCCCCGAAACAGTTATCGAGAGCCAGAAAGATCACAAGATGGATGAAGAAAACATGCCTGGAGACTCCTTTACTAACTACAATATTAAGATGATGTTTGTCTCCGGGGAGACAGCAGAACCGTCTCCTGAGACCACTACTTTGATTGAAGAGATCACCCGCCAGCAAGTCATCGAGATTGTGAGTCCTAGCCATTCTTCCCTAAGAACTCTTGTAACTAACAATCAAATAGCTTAGCCGCAGCACCGCATTGGCAACTCGTCGCGGAGTTCGCTCGATCTCTACTGACGACCTGATTTTCCTGATTCGCCACGATAAGGCTAAGGTCTCCCGTCTGCGAACCTTCCTCTCCTGGAAGGACGTCCGCAAGAATGTCAAGGACTCCGACGACAAGGGTGGTGGTGACGCCGCCGACTTTGCTGCCGCCGACGATGCGGCTGGTGTTGTTGCAGGACCCCAAGACGTGGCCCCCAAGCCCAAGAACAAGCGCGCCAAGGTCGGACTCGCGTGGGATGTCAACAGTTTCTACTCAGTTCAAGTCCCCGAGCGTGAAGATGAAGAGGATGAAGAAGAGGAGGAACAGAACTACGCGACTCTCCAGCGTCTTGCTGCCGCTGATGAACGCACCCGCCACATGACCCGAGAGGAGTATGTCTTTTGGTCTGAGTGTCGCCAGGCTTCCTTCACCTACCGCAAAAGCAAGCGTTTCCGTGAGTGGGCAGGCTTCGGCATCGTGACCGAATCCAAGCCAAACGACGACATCGTGGACATCCTCGGATTCCTCACCTTCGAGATCGTCCAGACCCTGACTGAACAGGCACTCAAAGTCAAGGAGCGCGAAGACAATGAGAAGCATCGTCGCGGTGGTACCGAAGCCGGCGAGAACCTCAAGAAGCGCAAGCGCGAGACCGGCCTGTTCGACCCCCCCGAGGAAGGACGCACTCCCATTGAGCCACGACACGTTCGCGAGGCCTACCGCAAGTTGCAGGCTACTCCCCAGCAGGCAGTCGCTATGCTGTTGCACAATGGCCGTGTTCCTGCCCGCCTCCCTCTTGCTTTGGTGAGTCTACACAAACCTCCACTGTATGTTCTTATGCTAACAAAGTCACCAGATTTAAATGCTCGCCCACTTGGGCATCAATTTCGAATTGATGCTCCTTCATGAATTACGTGCATGGCAGCGGGAGTTTGCGAACGATACCCAATTTTACCTTGTTTGATTTGTGCATTCAGTGGCGACGGAGTCAATCCCTTAGTTGTTCCTTCTGATATCACCATTTTTGTTTGAATAGTTCAATATTGTACCTTTGCTTTTCAATTCTTGTGCACTGTATATTCGGCCTAATTATCCGATTAATTTCTTCACGGCATGACGTTCGGCCTAGGGTAGATGCATTGGCCTGAATCATGACGCCTCGTCATTGGAACAATTACCCGTGTAGAAGATGAGCTTGAGTGAGCAGCAGAGAAATTAAATACCCAGGAGCTAGATCACTTGAATGGAAATTACCTACATCTCACAATGATGTTTAAGATCATAGATGCAATATCTGTTAAGAAATGAGTATCGCACAGGGAAACCATTGAGATCTCAATTCAAGAAGACATGGGATATTTATTTCTCCAGTAGAAGCTCTCCCAGATGTTCATAGCATGCCAATTTTTCCGTACTTCTGGATGCGATTCAACCAAAGAGAAATTTCGCTGTATATCGGCAAATGGTAGGTTTTGTGCATCGATATAGCGCAATACCTCGCGAAGAAACGCTTTGTAGTTATTCTTAGCCGCGAATTCAAGTAGTGACAAACCAAAGCGATTCTCCGGAAGAGGATTTGCTCCTCGATCTAGAAGAAGCCGAACATAGCTAAGGCACTTTGACTCGGCCTGACAGAGTATGAAATTGTGTGAGTAGCCCTGGAGATCGTTGATATCCGCACCGTAGCGCAGGAGCACATCAATCGTTGCTTCTGCAGCTTTTTGGTTATTGGCTGCCAATGCATCCTCGAGGTATGATTTTGAATTGCCCGAGTGTTCGTACAATTTCAAGTTCGGGTCAAACCCCCTTTTGAGGAAGAATTCAGTGACTGCTGCACCTCCTCGTCTTATTGTAGCTTGTAACACTTGTTGTGCATGTTTGTCGTCTGCCTGAGCCACCACATCATGTGCAGCTAGAAGATCCAACATAGCCGGTCCATCCTTACTTTTTGATGCTTCGCCAATCAAACTTTCGTTCCTAGTGAGAAAGGCGGGTTCAACGGGCACATTATGGCCGAGTAAAACTTGCACAGATGCAATACCCCCAGACCTAACGGCCTCTGTCATCGGATTTGCTTTGTCATTGTAGAATCGAGCTTGGCCCTCCGCACCTCGCGAAAGAAGCAAATCAATGATCTGAGGGAACCCTATGGCTGCAATCACAGCCGAATTTCTTTCAGTCTCCGCTTTCTTAAGATCGAGGCCATGGTCGAGCAGCAACTTCACTGCCTCGATGTGACCTCCTCGACAGGCTGAAAAGAGCGGCTGATATTTCGGCTCATAGCCCCTTTTCTCATCTGGTTCCTCTCCATACAGTCTTGCACCATGTTCTAGGAGAATGGTGGCGATATCAACACGCCCTCTTCCTGCGGCCGCGGAGAGTGCTGGGCGGGGCCAGGAAGAGTAATCAGGATAATCACAACGGCAAACGATGTTTACATCACATCCACTCGCAAGAATCTCCCGAAGAAGGCTCTCAAGTCCACAAAGTGCCGAAACAAACAGAAGGATAGCCAAGTCATCACCCCCCTTAGAGATCTTAGCATCCACGTCAATTTTTGAGAGCAGATATTCCACAATATCGTATCTCTTGCGTTCAGCTGCCCACCTCAAAGGCCATAATGTAGCACCGCCACACATCTCGGGATCCGGACAGGCTCCTTTCTCCACAAGGAACATGACAGTCTCAAGATCGCCTCCCACGGCGGCCAAACCCAGTGGGGTAATTTTCCTGTCGCATGCAATATTTACATCGGCTCCGACACTAATCAAAAATCGAGCAATTGCTGGTTTATTGTGCCGTATCGCAAATATCAAAGGACCCTTCGCATCATCCCGACTGGCTTCATTAATGCTTTGAGGAAACATTTCTACCAGTAATTTGACTAGTGTCAAGTGTCCACGGGCGATAGCTATATAGATAGCAGCCATCGCATTCCGGTTGTTCCAATCTCTCGTGGCACCATGCGTGATCAGCAAGCGTACAACATTTTCGAAGCCATTCTCAATCGCGAGGGTGAGCGGATCACTTTCAGGCTTGAAACAAATGTTCGGGTATCCGTCGCTCTCGAACTCTTGCTGGGTCAGAAACTCTTCTGTGAGGGGTCGCCACCCTTCCCTTCGACATGGATCGACCCCTAAGTCTAGAAATAACTTGACTACATTGTCGTGTCCGTGAGCCGCTGCTAACGCCATCGGCTGCCATTCTTCGTCCACGCAGGCACTTGGTAAGGCGCCGGCTTCTAGTGACATTAGCGCAGTTCTTTCGACGCCATTTCGCGCTGCCCATTCAAGGGCGGAGCTCCCAAAATAGAGGACATTGTGTCGATATAGGAAATCGTTCATCAGACGATAAGTGAATTTGCTTGTTCTTACGAACGAGTTCAGGTCGCTTTCGTATTTGAAGAAGGCCACGATATAGAGGTTCAACTCGACAGGTAGTTTTGAAAACCCCATTTTAGATGCGTAGGAAAGGAAAGGAAAGGGGTCAGAGTTGGACCAAACGCTAATGCTAGCGTGTATATGGCCACAAAATTAGTAAGCCCCTTTTTAAACGTCCAAATGTATTGAAGCGTTAATCCATACCTATATGAGTAATAACTTGATTTCACTGTAAAGGCCATCCTAAACAATAGTGATTTTGCTTGGGCTATATACAGGCGTGTAGAGCTCCGCAAAGCCCAACCAGCAGTGGCCTATGGGCCTAACCTTCGAAGCCCAACCTAACCCATTGATGGGCTTTGGGCCCCCCATTCAAAGCTCAGTATGATTTCACCCTAGGCCCATAGCCCACCGATGGGCCCGAAGATAGGGCCCAAAATCCAGCCCATTAGTGGGTTGGGCTTTGGGCTTTATGGGCTTCGGGCTTTATGGGCTTTGCGGAGCTCTACAGCGTGTACGCGACGGGAGTCCACGGACGACTAAGAAAAAAAAAGTATTAGTGGATTTTAATTCTACATTACTTTCCAAGCTAGTCTTTATCTCATATTAGTGTTTATTTCAAGGCCTCTCTTCTAGACATATTAACATTGAAAATCAGACGGAGTGACGTGCTTTCGTTCTTACCCCATTTATGATAGAAGACGCCCTCTAGATTGTACAGGGACTGATTATTCATTTAAATAAGAATACTATATGCATTACTGGTACCACAATCAAAGAGAGAGTTGATCTGATCTTTGAAAGGTTTAAGATCGATAGAGGTATGATGGATGTAGATGAGAAGAAATGCAAGCTTATACACTAAAACGGCACATAGCGAAGACCAACTAGTAAATGTTGCAGGCATACCTAGTACATCTTCAAATTATTAATTTCCCAAATATTTAGACTGCATCCAGACTATTTGATCTAGATCCGGGGTGGCTACTGTGAGAGTCACTCTACTATGGCCTGGTATCACTGTTTTCCATCTAAGACATGTTCCACCCAGCATTTGAATAAAAACTTGAAAAATAACTTCGGTAAATGGTGCACTGAAGTTCCAGCTCCTTGCTGCTTAGATCGAGTGACGTATAAATAAAATCGCGCTCTCCACCGGAGATTTATCACGCTAGTTCTGGGCCCGGAGTAATAAGTGTAAGTGGCAGGAAATGGTAATGATCTTCTTGCGGAGACCCCGAGACAATATTTTGCAAAGTATTTCACCGTATAGTCCCAGGCGCACACATCTTCATAATCCGGCCCACAAATGATTGGCATTTGGACTTGTTGATAGTACGTAGAACTAGATATGGTCAGGTTCTAACCATCAAGCCTAAGCTCTTTTGATGCCCAATTATCGGGCATAATCGTCGTTCACAAGCCTTCATGTTAAGTACCCCTCATCTTCAGGGCGCTAAAGCCATTTCAGTGCTCTCTCAATCTTACGCTAGCTAGGCTTGTCTTCTTCCTGTCCAATCAACCATTTATTAAATTTAGTTCGCCTGAAGAAAAGGGAATATCCCGGTGGCAGAAGCTTAACGCTACAATGATGCGGAGTGCATCTAAAATAACCTCGTCAAATGGAGCTCTCCATCCTTGTGACATACGCTCACTCCTTGCTAGGATTAGGGACGGAACAAAACCTTCCGTCTCAGTCACAAGCCAGGAATCATGCTATTGGTATTAACCGGCATGAAGGGTACTATCCACCTATATGGTCGAGTAAACAATGCGTCTGTACTAGCATTGGAGGAGAATTACCGCCACTTTAGTAGCCCCTGCTACTCCTCATCTACAAAGGACTTGCTGACGGATGAACTGAATCATATAAATAGGAAAGATGGACGCTACACAGCGTAAGGCTCTATCGTTTTTACTTCAGTATCCATTGAAGCATTTCGTTCTTGGTTTAAATAGCGCTAAGGCCTGACTGATCTACCATTCTAAAGGTAATCAACGATGCTCTCACGACGAAGCTTCGAACGCTTCTGCGTACTGGTTCTAAGTCTTGCTGCCACTGGCAAATTGGTTGAAGCGGGGCCCTGTGATATCTACGCGTCCGGCAACACACCCTGTATCGCTGCACACAGCACCACTCGCGCCCTGTACAGCGCCTACACCGGTGCACTGTATCAGGTCAAACGTGGTTCCGATGATACCACTACCGATATCTCGCCGCTTTCTGCTGGTGGTGTTGCAAATGCCGCTGCACAGGACAAATTCTGTTCAAGCACAACCTGCTTAATCACGATCATTTATGACCAGTCTGGCCGTGGTAATCATCTCAAACAGGCTCCGCCCGGCGGTTTCCGCGGCCCTGAAGCTAATGGCTACGATAACCTGGCCAGCGCAATTGGAGCACCGGTCACGTTGAACGGCCAGAAAGCCTACGGCGTGTTCATGTCTCCTGGAACCGGCTACAGCAACAACGCTGCCAGCGGCACGGCTACGGGGGATGCAGCCGAGGGAATGTACGCAGTACTTGATGGAACCCATTACAACGGTGCATGCTGCTTTGACTACGGCAATGCCGAGGTCAGCAGTACGGATACGGGTAACGGCCACATGGAGGCCATCTACTACGGTGACAATACTGGCTGGGGCTCCGGCGCTGGGAGTGGTCCTTGGATCATGGCAGACCTTGAAAACGGTCTATTCTCTGGCTCGAGCTCGAGCAACAATGCTGGCGACCCTTCGTTATCCTACCGTTTTGTCAATGCGGTTCTCAAGGGAGGATCAAACGTGTGGGCCATCCGCGGTGGCAATGCTGCGTCCGGTTCCCTATCAACATACTATAGTGGTGCGCGTCCAAGCGCATCTGGATACAACCCGATGAGTAAAGAGGGTGCTATCATCCTTGGCATCGGCGGTGACAACAGCAACGGCGCTCAGGGCACGTTCTACGAAGGCGTGATGACCTCCGGCTACCCGACCGACGCCACCGAGAACTCGGTGCAGGCTAATATCGTAGCGGCCAAATATGCCACCACGTCGCTGACGACTGGGGCGGCACTCACCGTCGGTTCCTCAATCTCGCTGCGGGCCACCACGTCCGGCTACACGACACGCTACATCACACACACCGGCACGACCATCAACACTCAAGTTGTCTCGTCATCCAGCACCACCGCCCTTAAACAGCAGGCTAGCTGGAAGGTTCGCGCCGGTCTTGCAAATACCGCTTGTTTTTCGTTCGAGTCAGTCGATACCCCGGGGAGCTTCATCCGACACTCTGACTTCGCGCTCGTGCTTGCCGCCAACGACGGCACGAAGTTGCTCTATGAAGATGCCACATTCTGCCCGCAGACCGGTATAAATGGCCAGGGCAGCTCAATTCGATCCTGGAGCTATCCCACTCGCTACTTCCGCCACTACGAGAACTTGCTCTACATTGGGAGCAACGGCGGTGTCAATACGTTCGACTCCGCCACTTCCTTCAACGACGACGTGAGCTGGGTGATTAGCACAGGCTTTGCTTGAGGTGTCTTGCATATTTCGTAGGTAAGGGTAGAGGTGTGCTGGAAATGAAAATTATATCCAATATTATTTACTTACAAAGTAGACCTCGTCCCCTTAAGTTTTCTTATACCTACTGTTATTAAGATACAGCGAAGTAGCTTACTATTATAATACAGAATAGAGAGTAATTAATTGCCGAGCTTCTAGTTGCTTATATCTCAGATTTTAAGTATAATAAACCAAAAATATATTTCAAAAATAGCCTGTGATATCAATTTGTGGCGGCAAGAAAACCGATAAACCCGAAATCGTGTTTGATAACAGACTTATGACCCATGTTGGACATCTTAGGTCCATACTAACGCTCATTGACACACTCAATCACACTCTCTACCCCCTTTCCAGCGCCCCAAATTTTCACAATTCTCAGACCTGCCCTCCTCTCAATCAGGTCATACCACGCTGTGCTAGTCCGCTCCTCGCCAGAGAATAGGGTTAGCATCATCATATCGAGTCCCGTGGTCTCCCAATGGGCACCGATGTCTGGCACAACGTTCTCGTTGATCAATAGTCTGCTATATCCAGGCTTCATGGCCTCTTTCACTCGTTTAAGTACGATTTCACATACATCGTCTGACCAGTTGTGCAGAGTTGAGTGTATATAATAGGCACGGGCACCTTGATAGTATAAGTAACATCGTTCGAACTTGAGAGAGAAGGCTGGAAGGTGGGCTCTGAACTCTTACCTTTAACGGGTTGTTCATCATGGAAGTCATACTCCATTCGGACTATAGCCGGATCTAGATCCTTGATCTGGCGAATCATCAAAGGCAAATCTTGAACGATTAATTTCCCGGGGGTGTTCGGAAAACGACTGCGGAACCTCTCCAAATCATGGCCCACGTTGCCACCGATGTCCACGAGGAATGGTGCATCTGGGCTAGGATCGGCCCCATCGATGAGCCTCTCCTTCACAGGATAGACACCAGGGTCCATCCACCATGGGCGACCCAGATTGTAACCCCCAAAGTAATCATTCAGGTGTTTCCCATAGCCCAAGTCATTCACGAAAGAAAATATATCCTTATCGGTACCATAGGCGTACATCAGAGATGTGTCCTGATTGTCTGTCGGATTCACCCAGTTCCGCTTGCGGGCAAACTCGTGGAATTTCAAGGTACCTGCACCAGTGCACGCGGTACTAAGTGACAAGAGATATGAGTTAACCGTGCTCCTGTGGAATCTAGCTTGGAGTCAAACGAGGACTTACAAACCAAGATACCCATGTCCAATCTGAGGAAGGCTCAGCGCCTTAGTAAAGTTTGTGGGTCTGTACTCATCATCACCGACCTCGATGAGGAGTCCCATAGCACCGATATGTCGCATCAGACGACCTAAAATACAGTTAGCTAAAGCTTTGAGACGGGTTATGTGAAGCTCACTGAGAAGTCTGGGATCGACCCCAAGACTCGCAGCCAGATCGGTAACCTTCTGGGGTTGGTCGCCATTTCGAGCCATCAACACCCATAAGCCCGAGTCCACGCCAAACCCAATAGCCGAAATTGCACCAAACTATCATATCATTAGTCTGTTCGGTCAATGGGACTCTAGAGAGCTTACCTGTCCCCAACAGTGGTCAACCATTATCTCGCGAGGAGTCTCCAGAGCTCCAACTAAAGCTCGACACTTGATTAACACATTCTTGCGGTCCTCATCAGTTCCAGTAGGTAGGCTGTTAACACCTTCGATAACCTCCTTCAGCAAGCCAGGGACTGCCTCGGCATTGTTTGGGCGCGTGCTGATACGAAGGTCAACAGGACACGAAGTATACTTTGCGTTATCGGCTGCCATGCTGATAAATATGAAAGTCAAAAGTAGAAGACTATATGAGGAAGGATGAATAGGTAAGACTATGGGAGGAAGAATGAATAGGTGTGCGGATATTCTTGTTCTTATTTGTAGTCATTCCCTATGTAAGAAAACTAAACACGGTGTATGATAGTGACTAAGATACCAATCCCTATACATAAAAGCTACATATGTAGTGACACGGAGGCGCTAGGTCACCAGATCATGACAATCCTATACCTAACCTACTACCTAGGTTACTAGTAAATGTTTACCAATAATCACCAGGTGACGTGGCAATCCCCTAGGGAAACTTGAAACTTATAGCTATGTTGTGTAACGGCTTAAGCTTCAGGGTTTAATAGCAAAGATCTACCGTTGACGACATCTAACCTACTACTACTTAGCTCTAAGTTTCAATGTTTTCTAATAATCACCAGATGATATGGTAATCCCCTAGGGGAACTTGAAACTTGTAGTAAAGTGGTGTAACGTCTTAAGCTTCAGGATTTGATAGTAAAGATCTCACTATAGACGACATCTAACCTAATACTACTTAGGTAATTAGTAAATGTTTACCAATAATCACCAGGTGACATGGCGATCCCCTAAGAAACATTGAAAATTACAGCTAAGTGGTGTAATAGCCTAAGCTTCAGGATTTGATAGCAAAGTTCTCCCATCCTGACTGTGTGTCTGCGAAGGTGCATCGTCAGGAGTCAAAATTAAATTCCTTTTAGGGTTGACTGAACATGCCTTGTAGTACGGGCGTGCCACCCGTGACTTGATTATTATTGGTTAATATTGCCAGCAGTAATTTAGTCATCCACCCTCACTTCCAGAGTATACAGTCAATATTGTACAACTTGCCTACCATTTAATTGATAATTTACAAGTATATGCTCCATCTTTATAAGTAGTTTGAAAGCTATAGAAAAACCAGGCAAAAGGCCATAATTTCTCAAGTTCTCGGCCCCTAGGTTATTAGGCGGGAGCGAAGGGCCGAGTACCCCGTTTCGCTCGAGTACGACTTCCAAATCTCCTAGTAGTTACATGACCGCTCTCTATAGTAGCCTTCTATAGACCCTCTCTCTAATCTCTCCCCTCTTTATAGTTTTATACTTTCTACAATATATATGTATTATGCTTCATGATATCATATACTAGATCGTAGATTCTAACAGATACGATCGCTTTCTTTATAAATAAAAGGAGATAGATTGAAATTAGCATACATGCTTCGAGAAGGCGGTGACAAGAGCGGACGGTAGTATAGGCTAATGATAGTTAAGTCACGGGTGGCACACTTGTCACCTGTACTCGTAGACCGCTTTCGACACCGCTCTATACCTTGTACTGTAAATGATACATAGGATTATTGTTCCTACCAACCAAATCCTGAGATTACTGAAATCCTAGTTATTTACATATGCATGAAGAGATCTGTCAGCAATTTAGGTATTTAATTTTCTGCCGGTCTTAAAATAAGACACATCCATGCAGTAAATCCCTAAAAATCATTCAATCTGACCCCTGCTTCTGCACCTTCAATAGCACATGTACACTCATACCAGATCGAGCATTACTACCAGATCGAGAATTTAAGCCTCACCCATTTCCTCAACCACCCCATGCCACTTGTCAAAAATGTTCTCTGGATCAAACTTGCTTTTCGTCTTTTGCAATTTCTCCAAATTCCAACCATATGCTTGGCGTGGCATCACAAATTCTGCTTCCATGTTGAGATAACGTCCCACCGGCTTATCTCTGGAGTCTGCACGCCCTAGCCACTCATATCCGTTATCACGACGTATCTTTGCACATAGTTTCGAGTTACACAGACGGACAGCATCGTCGAGCGCCGGGTTGGTCCACCCAAACGTAGTAACAGCATCGTAGAACTCTCCGCGGTTGGCATATGCAGTAGCACCTTGGGAAACTTCGCGCAACTTGTGGGTTGGAAAAATTTCAACTAATAGGGAGCAGAACCTTACGTCGGGATGCATATCGTGGATAGACCAGATTGTGTCTGCTGTCTGTTGAAAAGCAGCGGTGTGGAGCGGCATAGTGACATTTCCCGAACCTTGGAGGCGTCGCATGCCGTATTCACACATTGGATTCTGCAGAGTGTTGACTTGCGCAATGCACATCATACTTGTGCAGTCCACGATGGGCCCGATGCTGAACAGGTTTGCGAAGTAGCCCCTCGCTTCCCACTCTGGCCCATGGTAAAGCGGAATAGCGGAGAGGATGCGGTCCGCCCCATCCGGTGTGTACCCGACAACTATAGTCAAGCAGTGGCCGTCTCGTTGATCCCGATTGTGAAACTCGTTTGCAAATGCCACCAGTTCAGGCAGCTTGGCAGGTAAAAACGTAAGGGTCCCGCTCCAGACCTGTCCCTGGCTGTAGACGCGAGATGTGAAGCGCGTGACGACTCCAATCTGAGCTCCGGCTCCACGGATGGTCCAGAAGAGGTCTGGATGTTGCAATTCAGAGGCTTCAAGAATCGAGCCATCTGCTATGACTATCTGAGCCGATATTAGGTTGTCAATTGTGAGACCATATTTTGCTGTCAGCCAGCCGTGACCTCCCCCTAGGATAAGTCCACCCACGCCTGTGTGGTTCACTGTACCGCCGACAGTAGCGAGTCCACAAGCATCTAGAGCACTATCCACATCACTCCAAAGGCATCCGCCATCGAAAGACACAGTCATCTTGGCTTGATCGACTTCAACCTTACGCATATTCCCGAGATGAATGACCATGCCTTCCGATGATGACATCCCGCTTGTCGAATGACCACCACCACAAACAGCCAATGGAAGCTTATTTGCGACGGCAAACTTTACAGCCACAGAGACCTCTTCAGCACACGTAGGCCTGACGATCACAGCCTGAAAAGGACTTAGCTGGACGTGACTTTGATATATGAGTGGGGTCAAACTGACTGCTTTCATTTCAGCGGCCGCGCTCCATCTCTTCAGGCTCGCGGCGTACCCATCATCACACGGCATCAGAACTTCGCCTTTCGTTATAGCCCCACGTAGTTCATTCCAGTTAGGCATAGTGATGTAGGAGAATTGGCTTCAGGTAATTTGATTTGCTTCAGGTAAATTGGATCTGACTCAAATCCGGTTTAATCACCCTCCTTTATACTTTGGTGAAGATGTGAATATAAGCTGGGCACCTGGGCATGACACGGCAGCTGACGTGTAGTCAGCCCTGAAATGGCAAGTTGCAGACTCTGTTTGAAGATTGATACTCTCATCCTATCACAAATGTTCATTGATGCAAAAGTGGTATCTGCATGAAGATCTAACTTCAGTGCAATAAGCAGGATATTGGAAAATGCTGGAGTATTTGGTTGCACAGGGAAAAATGTATGAGGGATTTCAGGGACTATCACGATAACTGGTAGACAATAGAATATACCCCTGGGCATGAGTGATCTCAATGTGAAGCTTGTAATACTAGATATCGTATTATGCAGCGGTATAGGGGTCAGGGTTCAAACCCCCTTTTTAGGGGGGGGGGGGTTGATGCCTGAATGACTTGCTATAGAACGGCAGAAAAATGAAGATACCTGAATATCGTATACCAAAGTCGTTTTACGTATTTTATACCGTTTTGAACGCCCATATTCTATATTTTGCTGCTATTTCTTCTTATGCTTCTAGCTAAACCACTAATAAGGGAATGGAATACCAACGAGAAACTATATCTAAGGTAATATCTCAGAGGACCACCAAAACGACCACCAAAACGACCACCAAAACGACCACCAAAACGACCACCAAAAAGACAACCAAAAAGACAGCTGAAAATACAACTGAAAAGACTATCAAACAGACTTAACCAGGTCACATAGGCAGCCAATTATTCTTGTATACTATATACTTAGGTTTGAGAGAACCGAGGCGGCGGTCAATGCGGCAGCCCGATTAGGCAGGCTGTCGTGATAGTCCCTACAAGCCCTCGTACAAGGTGTCATATGGCAGACCTTCAGCTTGTCCTACATCTCCTTACCTGCCTCTTCATGTTCAGATCTGCGTCGCACAGGCCACGAGTAATAGCTAGGTATGCTACACCAACCTACACCGTATTGTCCCACCATCACGAGTAGAATGAGCCTATACTGACTATCTGCTTTAGATACATCGTACATATATAGCTGGAGATTATAAGGAGAGATAAAGGTAAGGAAGACTTTTGTTATACTTGACAATAACTCAACGATCAGCACAACATCAACAAAAAGAAAAGAAAGATATTACCAAAAAAATATGACACTGGCAGAGCAGAACGACAGTGCAGATGTCAAGTTGACAGAAATTGAGACGGTAGCACAAGTGGACCTCGAAAAGGTTTGGGCGTGGAATAAGGTGGCTCCAGAACTGATCGAGCGATGCGTCCATGAGATATTCGAAGAGAAAGCTCATGACCAGCCTAATGCAATTGCTATCTGTGCGTGGGATGGAGAGTTACTTTACGGCGAATTGGATCAACTCGCTACGAAACTAGCAAATCGACTCACTGAATTGGGGGTTGGACCGGGTCTACTAGTACCTCTCTGTTTTGAGAAGTCGATGTGGACGACAGTTGCCATGCTTGGTGTGCTTAAGGCCGGTGGAGGGTTTGTGATGCTTGACACCTCAATGCCAGAGCATCATCTCCATCTTATGATCCAACAACTCAAAGCAGACCTCATTTTGTCTTCTGCCTCAAACCAAGCACTCAGTTTGAAGTTGGCTCCGAATGTGGTTCCTATCGATCGAAGATTTTTCACCAACTTGGAAGTTCAAACAAATTCGCGCCTTCCCCCGGTTGCCCGTCTTCAGTCATGTGCCTGAAATTCACTTCAGGCAGTACGGGGATCCCGAAAGGAGTCTTGTTGACCCATCGCAATTACGCATCGGCTCTCTACCACCAGGCGCCACATCTGGGGTTTACGAAAGAATCGCGTGTTTACGATTTTTCCTCATACAGCTTCGATATATCAGTCGGCCAAGTCTTTACAGCTCTCGCTGCAGGAGCTTGCTTGTGTGAACCAATGGAACAAGATCGGATGAACAAGCTGGCTCAGAGCATAACATCTCTGCGCGCAAACGTTGTTGCCCTTACACCCTCCGTCGCCCAACTGCTGGACCCCGATCATACCCCTACATTACAGTCAATTATCTTTGTCGGTGAACGTCTAAGCCTTACAGATGTGAACCGTTGGTGGGGCAAAGTACGAATTCTCAACATATATGGGCCATGTGAATGTACTCCATACAGCGTCATCAACAGCCACGCGTCTTGTCCACAAGAAGCCACTCGAATAGGCATTGGCGCTGGCCAGGTGACATGGGTCGTCAATCCAGATAACCACGACCACTTGCTTCCGCTTGGTGACATCGGCGAGCTACTTCTGGAAGGGCCACTTGTGGGTGAAGGGTACTTGGATGACCCGGAGAAGACAGCAATTTCATTTATCCACGACCCAGTGTGGTTGCGGCGAGGAGGTTCGGGACAGCCAGGACGGCACGGACAACGTCTCTATAAAACAGGAGATCTTGTTTATTATAACGAGGATGGAACCTTGACATTTGTCGGACGCAAAGATACGCAGATCAAGATCCACGGACAGCGAGTCGAGCTTGGAGAAATTGAGCATTGCCTACAAGAACACATGACAGAAGCAAAGCAAGTCGTGGTAGATATATTTATGCCGAGAGGGGAGAACTCGAGTCCAATGTTGGCAGCTTTCATTCAAACCTATCCGATTGCAGCAAACTCCAAGCAACCAGAACCTACCTACATCGCGGAGATACTTCAAATTTCCACCGATATAGAAGACATGCTGGCTCAGCGCCTGCCAGGCTATATGGTGCCCACCATATTCTTCTCTATGCGGGAACTCCCCATGACAGTGATAGGGAAACTGGACCGAAGAAGACTAAGCGAGATTGGCACCTTGTGTTTCCATAAATGCATGGCTGGGCAAAAGCAAATGGCAAAGCCAAAGCCAAAGCCAAAGCCGGCCTCACACATTGGACAGGAGTTACAAAGGATATTGGGCAGAGTTCTAGCCCTTGATCCGGCGCTAGTGGGACTTGAAGACAGTTTCTTTCGGCTAGGGGGAGACTCGATTCTGGCTATGCGGGTCGTGTCAGAGGCTCAAAAGGCTGACATTGGGCTCACGGTTTCAGACATTTTCCGATACCCTACACTTGGTAGCCTGGTCAGCCAGTGCCACCATGTAGCTGACAAGGTGCCGGAAAAGATTCTGCCTTTTGCTCTTCTGAGAGACAGCTTCAACAAGGACCTACTTCTCCGAGAAATTGCATCTCAGTACCAACTAGATACCACCACCATAGAAGACGCATACCCGTGCACTCCCCTACAAGAAAGTCTTATGTCCCTGTCCTTGAAGCACCCTGGCGAATACATGATTCAACGCACTATGAAACTGGGCGAAACCATCCAAACGGGAGATTTCTGTCGAGCATGGGAAGAAATGGCCCAGAATACGGAAATCCTACGTACAAGGATTGTGCAGTGCAGCAACGGGGCTCCCGTGCAGTTGGTATTGAGCGAAGAAATCCAATGGGCTCATACAATCGGATTGGACGAGTATCTTGAAGAGGATAAAAGAAAAGCAATGGAGCTTGGACAGCCTCTTGCACGCTACGCCATGGTCACAGATAATACAGGCTTGCATCGATGGTTTGTGTGGACGCTTCACCACGCACTGTATGATGGCTGGTCACTGTCACTCATGACTGACATGGTTAATCGAGGGTACCGTGGTATCTCGACAAAACCAAAGCACCAGTTCAAAGCTTTCATCAACTATCTCGAGGAGCAAAACAGTGACAAGATATCTGACTACTGGCGCAATGCTTTTGTGGACTGTGACTGTATTCCTTTTCCAGCACTTCCATCGGCTGTGCGGCGGCCAGTAGCAGACAGCGAGATAACTCACCAAATACCATGGCTCAACACACAGCCGCGAGACTTTACAATCACAACGCTTGTTCGTGCCGCCTGGGCTCTGCTTGCCAGCAGCATGACGAGTTCAGACAGTGTCGTGTTTGGTATCACTACATCAGGACGCAGTGCGCCTGTTAGCGGTATCAACGAGATGTTAGGCCCAACAATCGCAACAGTTCCATTGTATGTCAAGATATTACGGTCCCAGAAGGTGTTGGACTATCTTGCGGCCGTGCAGCAGCAAGCAGCGGACATGATTCCTTTCGAGCATTTCGGCTTACACCAGATCGCTAAAATATCCCCTGAGGCTCAGCAGGCATGCATGTTCCAGACACTTCTTATTGTCCAACCACAAGAAACTTCCGAATGTGATAGTACGCTTGGGGTGTGGGACGAGAGCTATGAGCCAGAGTGGGTCAATACATTTGCACTAGCGCTTGAAGTGCAAATTGGCCTGAAGAGGATCAATGCTAGATTTGACTCTAACGTGATCGAGCCATGGATTGTGCGGTCGTTGTTAGAAGGGCTCGAATTTGTGATGAAGCAACTTGATACCGCAGGACCCCAACAGAGCATAGCAGAGATCGAATTAGTCACACCTCAAAATTTGGAGCGAATATGGGATTGGAATCGTACCGTCCCAATGCCAGTGAAAGAATCAATTCTTCATATGACTGGGAGGCAGATACAGAATCAGCCGATGGCAACGGCTATATATGCTTGGGATGGAGAGTTCACATACGGCGAGCTAGATCGACTTTCCACAACGGTAGCGGTTCAGCTTGTCAAATTTGGAGTTGGTCCGCACCTACTGGGGCCGGACGTCATAGTGCCACTATGCTTTGAGAAGTCAGCGTGGACAATAGTATCCATACTTGGTGTTCTAAAGTCCGGTGCAGGTTTTGTGTTGCTCGATCCTTCCCTCCCTGAACCCCGACTACAATCGATACTCCAAAAAGTGGGCTCGAAGTTGTTGTTATCCTCCCAAGCCAACATGGAGTTAAGCAGCAGGCTGTCAGAGATGGTGGTTCAAATAGGCCCAGATCTATCGCAGATCTCAAATACTGCCTCGAATACTGCCTCGAGTTACGCTACGAGTCCCACATCACTGTTGCAACCCTCCTCGAGGGTAATGTATGCAGTTTTCACTTCTGGCAGCACTGGAGCGCCTAAAGGGGTGTTGGTGTCACACGAGAATTTTTGCTCTGCTGTACACTATCAGTTGGAGCTTCTGGGCTTTAACAAAGAATCCAGGGTGTTTGATTTCGCATCATACGCTTTTGACACTGCGGTGCACAATGCTTTAGCCACACTCGTTGCGGGAGGATGTCTATGCATTCCTTCGGAAAAGGACCGCAATGACAATCTTGGCAACATCATCGCCATCATGCGGCCTAACATTGTCAATCTAACTCCAACGGTAGCACGTCTGCTAGATCCGAGGATGGTGCACGATCTGAAGACTTTGATTCTACTTGGCGAGCCAGTCACAACCAGAGATGTTGAGCGATGGCACTCACGCAAGATCCACCTCATCAACGCCTACGGGCCCGCTGAATGCACACCCATTAGCACGATTAATGCTTTTGCACCCAGCACAGAGGACGCCATTCGGATAGGAAAAGGCGTGGGTTTGGTAACATGGATTGTGAATCCAGAGGACCATAATCGCTTGTTGCCACCAGGATGCACCGGTGAACTACTCCTTGAAGGACCGCTTGTTGGCAACGGCTATATGAGGGATCCAGAAAAGACCGCCGAAGTGTTTATTGAAGACCCTAAATGGCTCCTAAAGGGCCCACATGACCAACCCGGGCGCCACGGCCGCCTTTACAAGACTGGTGATCTGGCACACTACAACGAAGATGGAAGTCTAATGTTTGTGCGCCGCAAAGATAGCCAAGTCAAGATTAGAGGGCAGCGCTTCGAGCTTGGAGAAGTCGAGCACCATATTCTCAACTGCTTGCCAAAAGCGAGCCAGGTTGTGACGGAAGTTGTTGTACCTGAGAGCGAGGTGAATCCTAGACCTGTTCTGGTGGCCTTCATCCAGGAGGGTGGAAATGACATGAAGGTCAACGAAGAATCGACTTTTACAGCCAAGGCATACCCCATGGCTGCTGATATCCAGAAGAAGCTGGCACATCATCTGCCAAGCTACATGGTGCCGACATTGTTCTTTTCTCTGCTGGATCTCCCCCTAACTGCCTCAGGGAAGATGAACCGGAGACGACTTCGTGAGATAGGCCAGGAACTTCTCTTGATTCAGGGAAAGCAAACGTTCGACACGCCTGAAAACTCTCTTGATACTGGGTCCTCACGTGGTAGATCGATATTGGAGACTGAGCAGCCAGCATACGCACTAGCCCAGAAACTACATTCCATGCGTCCCTCGTGGGCGCAGGACAATCTTTCATTCAGAGAAGCCGGGCCACAGCATCGGCCCATTGAATTTAACGATGTGCTTTTACACTCATCTGGTCTAGACTCAGTGGGCATGATGGAGCTCATGTCTTTCATCTCACAGAATTTCCATATTCAAGTTGGAATGCAGCTTTTGATGAACAAAGCAACTAGCATCAGGCATCTGGCTCAACATTTAGCCGATTCTCAGGCGGGTGGTGCTGAAAATGACCCAGTTCGACACTCTTCAATTAATGCCTTGATCTTAACTAATCTCATGGCTGAGATCAGCCGACACGATTCAAGGGTCTTGAGTGCCCAGCGGAGACCCGCAAGCCATGACACCATAGCGAGCAATCATCTCCCGATGGACGGAGATGATAAGTCCTTTACCGTGCTCTTGACCGGCGCCAACGGTTTTATCGGTACCCAAATTCTCCGGCAGCTCCTCGAACACCGCCATGTTAGTCGTGTCATTGGGCTTGTACGGGGCGATACAGACGAAGCAGCCAGACAACGCACCATTGATGGGGCTGTGAAAGCGCTCTGGTGGACTGATCACCACGCGGAGAAGCTAGAAGTCTGGCGGGGTGACCTCTCGCTGCCACGTCTGGGACTTGATCTCACGCGCTGGGATTCTCTAGCCAGTGGCCAAGTGGTCAATACAATTATCCACTGCGGCGCCACAGTGCACTGGACAAAAAGCTACGAAGTCCTGGAGGCCGCCAATGTTGGCTCAACCATAGAGCTTTTACTCCTCGCCATAGGCCTTCGGGGCATGAGATTCCTCCATATTACGGGCGGTCGGCCTTGGGACTCTCACGAAGAGCTGGATGTTGCGAAGGAGCTCTCAACCGCCGATTCCATGCAGTATAGCCAGACTAAGTTTGTCGCTGAAGCTGTCGTGAAGCGTGCGGCGCGGCGGAACCCATCCGAAACCAATCGGCTCGCTATCTCAAACCCAAGATGGGTCATTGGCACCCCAACGGAGGGGTATTCCAACCCCGATGACTATATCTGGCGGCTGGTGGCGACATGCATCAAAATAGGGGCGTACAACGGTGATGACTTGGACGGGTGGCTTGCCATATTCGATGCCTCGACCACAGCGACGGCGATTATTGACATGGCACTGGGCGAAAAGATGGATAGTATGCCTGAGAAACAACCCCAGGATGGTATGCTATGGAGGGAGTTTTGGGCCATCATTGGGGGCCTAGGTTACAGGCTCAAGGCTAAGGGCATGGCAGAGTGGCTGGCTCTTGTCCGTGCTGACATTGAAGCTACAAGGGAGAAGCATCCGATGTGGCCACTAGCACACATGTTCGGGGGCTTGCAGAACGATGAGCGACTAGTGGGTAGCTCGCGGGAGAAGCGTGGTAGTACTCCGTTGCGATTGAAAGTCGCTCTTACCAAGAGCGCCGAGTTCCTTATCAAAGCCGGCTTTTTACCCACGCCTTCAGATCAGAGTCAAGAGACGATATAGGTTGGGCACAATGGACCAATTCGAAGCCACCAATATGAAGCAACCAGGCCATTTCGGGAGGGGCAATGTTACCGTTCAGCATTATTACACTATTTTGTTGAGATGCAGAATCCCGTATCTACGCGCGATAAATTATAGCGTCAATATCACTAATATCACATTGTCAACTGGCCTAAATGTGCGGGCCATCATCTAATGCGTAGAATCCGGATATCTTGCACTATTCTCTCTAGTATCCTTCCTCACTGGCATACGTCATATTTTCATCATTACTGGTATCAGAAAGGGTCATTAACTAATACAAATGTAGATATATCATTCAGTCATACAGGATAGCTAAAGCTGGAACCCTCCAGTCATTCATAGCGGAGTCAAATACACTTACTCCTGATGCGTCCGGCGCCCTGTAGAGACTAGTTAGCATTTTCGTTGCGCATATTCAAAATATCAATAGGTAGAAGAAAACATACACTCAGCCAACTCTTCCATACTCAACTCTCGAATTCCATTGACATGAGGAACATTGCCCTGCACAGCACCCTTGACAGTCTCATATGCACGGCCAATCAAGCCCTTGTGCGCAACAACATGCGTGGCCAACTTGGCCTCGAGCTTTATAACGCCAATTCGGGGGTCCTTGGGCCCACCGTCGTGCACGCCATCGCCCATATCGCCAATCCATGCCTTTAGTGCGGGAGAGTAGTACTTCTCCACGATGGCGGGGTCACCAATCACTGATGCAGTGCCTGAAATTGAGGCCCAGGCTCCGCTGATGGGGTCGAGGAAGGACATGTTGGTTTCTTTTGGGTGCACGGTGAGATCCATTGCTTTGCCGGAGAAGAGATTTGTGTGGAAAATGAGGTCAATGCCGCCGTTCTCCTACATTGGGTAATAGATTAGCACGTTTCTTTTACTTCATTGTAGCTCTGCTCATACCTTCGCGGCTAGTGCCATGCATCGTGAGGCCAAATAGTCGCCCTCCGATTGCTTGGTTGTCAACATGCCAAATTTAACTTGAGTGATAAATTCAACCAGCTCTTCGATCTTCTGAGCGAGAGGCGGGTCTTCGAAGTTCTGGGTCTTGTAGGGGTCCACGGGGTGGTTGCCCGTCTTGGTATTTATAGAGGCATTTGTGGTAGACATTTTTGATGTTCAAATGATGAGAGGATATATTAAAGTAGATAGTCTCGAGAAAGGAAGAAGAAGCAGCTATATAGGAACTATGTATACATGATCGTCAATGTGACGTCACCGATAAGATCAGGATTAGGGCTCTGCGAGGTCAAATTCAAGTTCACTACATCACAGCATCCGATCAGATCTCCACAGCTCTGTCTCTGTGAGGATGGATCTTCGACAGGGTCCATATCGAGTCCGCATCGGATATTCTGCGAACCTCCATTACATCACGCCCATGCAAAATGTCTCTTGAACACACCGTGTACAGTGTCACATGAGTAATCTTTTTGTGAGCGCGATTGATAGGTCGCATATCAAGTCGTTCTCATGGCAATTGGGTGCTTTTCTATGCATCAGGGCATGCCAGTTCGACTTCATGGTTGATTATATAGAGCGAAACCCGCCGGCATTCGTCAATTGACTTCCGAGCTCAGCAGACTTGGCATGAGACAACATGTCAAATTACTTGATTAGAATCATCACTCAATGAGCAGTCGTGAGGTGTCCTCTCAATCTGCTATCGAGGTACCAAGTCCTGGTAACTTCAATCAGCAAGGTCTTCAACGGACACGGAAGCCGGCACAAAATAATGTCTCACCTCTGAGCAAAATGCCACAGCAAGTTCAGCAGAACAGCCATAATGCCAATCAAAAAGGCTATGCAACACGATATTAGCCGGTGTCTTTATCAAAGCAGAAGAAGATAGTAAAGATAGAACCAAAGAGGGAACAAACCTTCATGCCCCCAACTCTTCACCACCTTGACAGCTCTCCTATTCCCCTGTGCCCTCATTTTAAACCAACCGGACATTAAATTTGTCTGGCAAGTGTGACCGTCAACAAGCAGACAGCCATTCCTAACCCGGCGACACTCAAGATGCCATCGACGGCGCTCCATAATGCCGCGTACACGTCCATTGCAAAAAGACTCGTCCGTGCTGAATGAGCACTTCTCCATGGGGCATTCGAGTTTATGTTCGAACCGCTCAATAAACCAGTCAACTTTCAGCCGCACACCTGTGTAGACTATCGAGTAGAAGTGGCGGCTGCTGTGTTTTAAAGCTAGGGCGTCTGGGTAGGAAAGGTAGGTGCTTATTTGGATGTGTAGTTCCGAGGGAAGGGTCATCAGATTGGGGGTGGATTGCCTTGACGGTGATTGGGATGGTTCCATGGTATTAGACATGTTTTCGGAGGCTATTGCTTGTAGCTCAATTGTGTACATTCGACCTGAGGGTGATGTTGTTCATCTTATACGAGATCTTATACGAGCGGGGTCGAAAACTGTTGCCTGAAATAGCAGCCACTGACGATAAGTTCTAGTTGAAGATATTTATTCAGATAGAATCATCAAATGCTCTATCAATCTAAAACAGCTGCCTATTTTAAGCCTCCCAGAAAAGCTATGGATAATTAAAGGGGTTGTGGTCATAAGATCCTACTTATTATGGTGCCTAATAAGCACCGAGTTCTAGATAATAATTATGTATCTCTCCTAGAGCACATTCGGAGCAATAAACAACCATGCAACACTAAGAATAAAGACAAGATGTGTTGAGCTATGTAGCCCTGGAGGTATTCCAACCTCACTTGGAAATCCCCCCGGGCCCCGGATCAGTATCGCTGACATAATCTTCAATATCGGCCCGGGCCTCAACTTGGAAGCTTCAACTTTTAAAGATCGCCACTCACCAATCTCCTACTCCATCTCTCCAAAACAAATATCCACAAACACAAATATGTCAGGACCAAACGCCTACGGCACCCCGGTGTCGGATACGGCCTTCCGCAAAACCTGGGATCGCGAAGAATACGCCAAAAAAGCAGCCGACGAGGAAGCAAAGCGCAAAGCCGAAGGCAAAGCCCGCTACGAAGCGAAGCTACTGGGCAAGAAATACCACGCACCAGTCGACTACAGCATGCTCGAGGAGACCACAGCCCGCAACAAGCGCCTGGATGTCGCGTCCATGGTGGGCAAGACGATGCTTGTGCCCGCAGGCTCGGGAATGGGCAAGCGCGGCCAAGGCGCTGGATTTTACTGCAAGGACTGTGATCTTACCTACAAGGATAACTTGCAGCTTGTGGAGCACTTGAACAGCAAACAACATTTGATTGCGACGGGGCAGAGTGGCGAGGTGAAAAGGGCGAATGTTGAGGACGTGCGCTTGCGGTTGAGGATGCTTGCGCATCGGAAACGTCAGAGAGATGAGGAGGAGCGCAAGGCTTGGCAGCTTGATCTCGGGGTGCGGCTTAAGGAGCGTGAGGAGATTGATGCCAAGGAGAGGGAGGAGAAGAGGCGCAAGCGCAATGAAAAGCGCAAGAACAACAAGGTTAAGCAGGAGGATGAAAGCTGGGAGGGCCGGTTGGGAATTATTTCTTGAGTCTTGTTCTCGAGCTGCGCGTTCTATTCTTGATACCCATGGTGTTTTGGCATATTTTCCAGGCATTCTTTTTACTGATCATGTTCTTCATGTGCAATAATGGCACTTCCAAAATTCAAATTGCAAGCTAAAGATCTAACAAGGGTTTCCCAACGCCTAACATGCAAATCATATCATCCGAAAACATAGCCCAACTGTTGATTTAGTCGATGCACTCGATGGCTTCGAGTCGCTGCATCGCTCGGCCACCTTCCTTCTCGAATTGGCCGACCAGTCGCTCGCATTCTCTCTTCAATCGTTCTTCGCCGTTCTTTGCGTTCCACGCGATCCATTCTTGGACCGTCATCTTCTTCTCTGGGCTAGTCAAGCCGCCTTTCACGCCTTTGAAAAGTCCGGATAAATCTGCGTTTTCCTTGTCACTGGCCTCTCCAAACAGCACTTCATCGATATCCACCGGTGTCCATGGATGTCCGGAAGGTCCGAATCCACCATTGGCGTTGCGCTTGGATGGTGATGGGGTACTAACTGCCAGAGGTGCTCGGAACTCTGGATGCTTGGGTGTTGATTGGACAGGTGGACGGGATGCTGAGGGCCGCGACGATGGAGGCCGGTTTTCGGCATCTGATGACTGGGGTGATAGCGAAGGAGTGTTTTGGTGGGCTGGTGGAAGGGGCGAAATTGCCCGGTTGGAGCGTTTTGAATTCCTCCGAGACTCATGAACTTCATGCGGGGAGGTCTGGCTTTGGACTAAGGTCTCTGCGAGATGCTCTTCGTGAGGGATATCGCTATACCGTTTCGCGGTCTTTGGCGGTAAACTGGGCGTCTTCCGATCAGATTGTGGCTCGGGAGACATTTCTTGTGGAGGGGGAGAAGACTCCTGGGGAGGGTTGACCATCTCAAGCTGGTCAGGCAAATCATCTGTAGTCTCAAATTCATCATCCTGTTCCTCGACCGACGGTTCGACGCGGTGTGCTTGGACTGGGGACTCAAGAACAGGAGCTTGCGCCGCCTTTTTCTCGGGTTTCTTGGACTTTTTCTCTTTGGTTGATGTGGCATCCTTCTTCTTGGAACTCTTCTTCGATTCAGCCTTGGGCATTGGTTCTTCAGGTTCTGATGCATGCTCCGGCTCGTTGCTGACAATCTCGACGGAGATGAAGGAGTCGTGACGCTCGGAATCATCCCGCACATCGGAAGCCCTCGGCCCTAAAGATTCTCGAAGCTCTGGAGATTGTGTTTTTATCGTCTCTTCAGTCTTAGTCTTCTTCGTCCCCTTTTTCTTGGATCCTTTTGCCTTGGTCTTTGGAGCTGGCGGCTCAGGTGCCTCTGGTTCATCATCAAGCAGTTCCACGTGAGGATCCGAACGGTCCTCGTGATCACTGGCGACCGGTCCGGGGGATTTAGCTACGGCCTTGGACTTTTTGCTCGATTTAGTCTTCTTCGATAC